ACTTGAACTCGAACTTCAAAGTACTAGTACGTAACAACATGTAGACACCCAAAAACCATAATTTGGGCAACCAAAACCTCATATTCTATTCGTTATACCTCTTTGAATTTGTATTTAAATTTACGTTCACAATGATAGATTCATGCAATGCCATTTACTTTCTCTTTCACAAGAGACGACGCCGCCCCCTCCACTGAAAAAAACGGACAAATTTTTATTCTAAAGTAGGAGAGACTTGAAGACCATCGTGAGCCTAATTTACATGTATATTGAATAATATTTTCAAGAATATAGCTAATCATTTATCAAACAAATTAACCGCAACAGGACAGCTTAATGTGTATTTTCTTTATATCATTGTAAGAACATTGCAAGTATTAATAATACATACATAAATTGTTTAAGAAATGTATACAAGTATCCATGCGTAGCTCAGCTTCGATTTGCTTAGGACTCTTACTTGCCCATCCACAGACAATCAATATTTACTAAATGCTTGAGGCATGGATATTGGCTGAAAGAGAAGTCCTTTTAATCTTAGGTTAAGCCCTCTCGAAACATCAAGTGTAATCGTCTTGCAAGAACAAGAATTGAAACAAACGAAATTCTCCCGATGCTACTCGTACCGCTGGCACTGGTAGAAAAATGAATTTCAGAACGAACAGATTTTTCCAATTATTATCATTTTGTAATTTAGAAGAGTTTAGTTTTCAACAAGAAGGTGAATGTACATTATATTGCTTTCCATCATATCGGGTACCTGATTCGTGATTTCTTAACTTATGTGGTCAACAATTGGCGACATCAGTATATACAAAGTACTTACATTTCCAATTTACATGTAAGAGAGAAGGAAAGAAGGGAAAGGGAAAGAGGAGAGAAAGGGAAAAAAGAAGAGGAAGAAGAAAAGAAAAGAGGGAAGATGTAGATCGGGGGGGGGGGCAAAAGGACTTGCCTCCCAGGCTGTTGCCCCCCCCCCCAATCAAAAAATAAAAAAGAAGGAAGGAAAGGGAAAGAAAAAAGGAAAAGAGGAGATACAAGAAAGGAAAAAAGAGGAAGAAGAAAAGGAAAGAAAGGGGATAACGACACAACAAATCGTCTTCTTTCTCTAATGATTTAATGAAACGTAAGCTTCCGCTTAGCGCGGGTGGGGGAAAACTCAATACAGACGAGGATTATTTTTTGGGAACGGTACAACAAATCGTCTTCTTTCTCTAATAATTTATTGAAATGTCAAACCTTCCGCGTTTCGCGGAGGAGGGAGGGGGAAACTCGCCCCTCCCTGCACCCACCCACCCCAAATACGTCACTGCTGGTCACCATTACGAACCAATATTTGGCTCGCATAATTTCAAATTTTGCCCCCCCCCCCCTGAGAAATCCTGGATCCGCGCCTGATGTATATACAACGGCAACAGTTTCAATATAAAATGTAAGTTCTTCTTACTTAAATCATTAGTCTGGAAACAATTATTTGCCCATTGTTGTGTATTGTATTACATTTTCACTGACAATGAATTCACATTGTAATGCAATTTTCAAGTTTCCCAGGCTTATTTAGGAGAACAGAAGATTGATATTGTTTAGTTGTACGATAACATCACTCAGTTTGATTTGATTTGATTGGAGATATATCTCATTAAAAACAGAGTAAAGGCTATACAGTTTCAAACAAACCTACACCATTACATTTCAAGCTCACTCACACATGATTTATTGCGACACTTTCAAGGCTACTTATTATTTCAAGTTCATGTATATACAAAGGGCAACAGCTTCAATATTAAACGTAATTAAATCAATGGTCTGGAAAATGTTAATGCCCATTGTTGTATATTATACAACATTTTCCATAACGATGAATATACGTTGTATAATGCAATTTTCAGGAAAACCATACTTGTCATTACTGTTATATTTGTTATATGATACTAAAGCAAATCGTTTCGCTTATCGATAAGATAAATCAATGTGAAGTACGTGTCAAATAATGAAATCATTACGTGCTATTTTTAACCGGACTAGACATTTGAAACGTTTAAAAAATGTATACACTATTGACAGCAAGCAAGTTTTTTAAACAAAGAATTCAGAAATTGAACAACATTGCACATTTTAGTCTACACGGCATGCTCTACACACTTAGTTGGACTGTAAACAGTTGTCTTCTTAAGTCTTCCATATAAATATAAATTTAAAGGAGGTCAATAATCATTATGAAAACACCACTTTCGTAAGGTTGACACATCAATATATATTGTGCACACATGTATTAATGTGATAATATTTTTTCTTGGGGGGGGGGGCGGGAGGAGGGCAATCCAAAAAGGGACTGATATGTGAACATTAATATTGATAGGTCGCTTCACAAAAGGGGCATACATAGTCCTTTTTTGTGGATAGTTTTTGAGCAAAACACAAAATAGGTGGAAGGACGGGGTACGCGTCTTCCTTCAATTTTCTGAGGGGGATCGTCCCCCATGGATAATTTGAAAAAGTGCACACCAACAAAATGTAAAGCAAATACTGACTAAAGACTACAACACGCTTTAAGGCTCTGGTATGCCCAAGAGTACAGCGTTTAGACTAATAGAAATGCTAAAATCTTCTCGCTCGGTCGCTACGCTCCTTCGCATAATATCCTAAAAATATACAAGTAAATATTGAAGAAAATATGTATTCTGTTGGTATCACGTATGTACAAATTACGCTGTATGTTAACAAAAATGTGTTCCAAAAATGAATATTCAGCTTGCTCTTTTAAGAAGTCCCTTCCTGCTCAGTCAAACTAAAATTTACCTAGTCAATATTTACAACCCTTCGGACTGCACACTAGATATCGGCAAAGTAAAAGTGAAGCGTGAAAAAAGTATATTGCTTGTTTTTATGCTGTAGTTTTGCTAAAGAATGTAATTTTGTAACACAACAAAACTTCAAAAACCTGTGAGGGGTTTACATATAAGACTTATCATACAGCTTTATGGGGGTAGTCCCTTCCGTCACCTCCGCCACTTTCACTGGCGTACTAATGGGGGGGGGGCAGTAACCCCTCCCCCCAATACAATTTAAACATGGGTTATTTTTAATTTGATACCAGTGATTTACAAGTATTGCTAAAATGGCAGTATTTTTCCATGAGCTCCCGGGGGCTCTACCCCCGGGAACCCACCAAGGGCCCTAAGGCGGGCCCTGTTTGCTCATCTGGCCGTAATTAAATGCCTAAAGTCCTTGAGCTTTTGGGGGCTCTGCCCTCTGGACTCAACCAAGTGGCCTAAGGCGGGTCCCTAGATGCGTAATTTGGTGCCTAAAAGCCCTTCCGTTATGTATTTCTTATGTATTTCTTTGTCTTTCTTTCTCCATATCCTCTGCACTCTCCTTGGGCTTGGGGGAATTCAAATTCAAACGTGGTTTATTTCTAATTCCATAACGGTGGCTTACAAATAATGCTGAATTCTTTCCGAGATTTTTCCTCAGTTTTTAGTAAATTATACTTTTGTATGCGTTTGTTGGAAAATGACAAATTCCTAAATTTACAGCCAGGCAAGAAAAATGATTCTTGAGAAAAGTTAGGGCCCGGGGATCGGCTGGAATCGCAAGCCTCGAGCTCCCCCCCCCCCCCCCCCCCCTCCACTTTTTTTTTTGAAAAGGTAAAGTAAAGAGAAATAGAAATAAAGAGAGCAAGAAAGAAAGAATAGTTAACTAGCTGCTCATCTGACCGAAATTAAACGCCTAAAAACCCCTGAGCTTCCGGGGTTCCGTCCCTTGCACCCCGCCTAGGGCCCTAGACTCCCCTGGATGCTAATCTGACGGAAATGTAATGCCTAAAACCCCTGTTTTCTGGGGGCTTCGCCCGCTGGACCTCACGCCAATTAGTGTCCTGCCAGTGTCACAAATAAGGTATAAAAATATGTTCATCTGACCGTAATCAAATGCCTAAAACCCCTGAGCTTCTCGGGTCGGACAAGGTATCCAAATTTGTTTATCTGACCGCAGGCGCGTAGCCAGGGGGGGGGGGGGATAGGAAAAAAATAGAGAGGAGAGGAAAGGAAGAGGACGTAGGGAGAAAAAGGAGCAGACAAAAAACATCTTTGAAATTCAGACAAGAATTAAGAGTATAGAGAACGGTACAATGAATCGTCTTCTATCTCTAATAATTTAATGAAACGTCAAAGCTTCCGCGCTTCGCGGAGGGGGCTGAATTAAGACAAGGATTAAGAGTCGAGAACGATTCAACGAATTGTTTTCTTTCTCCAATGATTTAATGAAACGTAAAAGCTTCGCGCGAGACGGGGGGGGGGCTGAATTAAGACAAGGATTAAGAGTCGAGAACGGTACAACGAATCGTTTTCTTTCGTCAATGATTTAATGAAACGTAAAAGTTTCCGAGCTTCGCGCGGGAGGGGAAAATTGCATTCAAACGAGGATAATTTTCGAGAACGCTATAACGAATCGTCTTCTTTCAATAATAGTTTAATGAAACGTCAAAGCTTCCGCGCTGCGCGGAGGGGGGGGGGGCTGAATTAAGAGAAGGATTAAGAGTCGAGAACGGTACAACGAATTGTCTTCTTTCTCTAATACTTTAATGAAACGTCAAATATAGCTTCCGCGCTTTGCAGAGGAGGGAGGGGGGAAACTCGCCCCTCCCTACATCCCCCTGCATTACGTCACTGCTGGTCACCATTACGTACCAATATTTGGCTCGCATAATTTCAAATTTGGGCCCCCCCCCCCCCTAAGAAATCCTGGATCCGTGCTTGTCAGTAACACATTGTAGAGCCCATTGCCATAGCAATTATGTTGGGATTACGTAAGACTTTATAGTAATGATCGAACATTCGATGAGTGATAGCCAGTGCTATTGAAATGGCCATTGGTTTTCAAAAGTCCTTCGAACGTAATAATAAACGTTAGCCACATAATATTGGTTGCATCTTGATCATCCAGGTATAATTATGTTGAATAAATTTTTAGGTTTTGCTTTTTTCTTTCTTATTCCTCAGATACTTTGTGCAAATTGTTGGATATCTGGTAGGCATTTTCATATTCGCTACAGTTGTCGGTAAGTTCCCCAGTCCACACATTAAATTATGCTCATTCAATTCAACGGTAAATAAAGGGTTTCTATTTCTTGGACATTTCGAATCATATCTACACAAAAAGTAAGAGGCTATATTAATCCGTAAAGTGAGACATTATCCTCAATGAGAATGGTTATACAGTCAGATCGTATAGGTATAAAGCAATTGAAAATTAGCTATTCATCCAAGGTGCTTTTTCTGAAAACACTGCTTCAAATATTTTCATGAGGGTAGTTTGGAGAGCCAAACAAAGATACGATGGAATAGTACTCATAATATTCGGATTTTAATTTGTCTTACGGAAACGTAAATAAAAGCTTTCAGGATAGACAATGTTTGAATCAAGCACATAAATGATTGTTTTATTGTGTCTTTAATTTTCCCCATTGATCAACAGGGCAAGTCGGTGCTGTCATAGAGAATCGCAATGCAACCCGGATGGAATTCGAACGCCACGTGGTAAGTCAGAACGTGTTATTTGTTTACTTCTTATATTAATTTTTGTTTATTTTGGGGAGTTTTTTGCTGTTGTTTGGGTTAATGGTTGTCCAATTTATTTTTTGTTCTTTTCCGTTTGACAGGTTATGTAATAAAATTTAAAATTGGTAGTTATTGCAGCGGCGTTGTTAGACTATCAATTTAGCGCCCTCTAAACTAATTTGCCGACAAAGTCGCCGGTAAAAACTTACTACAACAACAAAAATTAAACAAATAGATGACTCGAGACGATGACAAATTAAGTTTAAGATGAGAAATTCTGTGGGTGCAGGTTTAAGAGTCGTGTTTTTTACCTCTGACATTTTCTTTTCCCGTTTTATAGGATCATGCCAAGAGATACATGCAAACAAACAACGTGCCTAGAGACGTTCAATTACGGATACTAAGATGGTATGACTACACATGGAAACGGTATGTATCATTATATTTATTTAAAGTTCGGAAGGGGAGAAGGGGAGAGTTATAAAGATAAGGGTTCATTAATGTTAGGCTATTTGTCGTAAATATTATTCCGTCATATTGTGAAGAACCGCAATGATGCACCGATGATATTTAGATGTGGATTCTTAGCATTTTTATGGCGAAAGAAAAAGACCTTTCATCGCTATTGCACTGTTTGCACGTCCATGATAATTATACATTTCGTATTCCGACAAAATTTGTCAGTTTGCAGCAAACACGCACACCTACACCCACACGCACACACGCACGCACGCATGCGCACTAACACACCAGCACACGACGGGTGTACTTAAAGCAAATCACAGTTTTAACATACTTTGATTTGTGCTCCATTTATTAATGTTATATGTTGCATCAATTCTTTATAGGCCCATTTTAGATTGAAGATTTGAAAACACAAATCGAATTGAGTTGAATTCTACTGCGACTGTCTCTCAACAAAATTGCTTCTCATTTAGAGATTTTTATAAAAATCCTTGTTCTTTTCCCAATAAATTTCAACAGTGGTGCTACACAAGGCCGAGGGGATGTCAACTCATTGGGTCTACTCCCCGACAAACATCGTACAGAACTCGCTCTCCATGTTAATCTACAAACTCTTAAAAGGGTAACTTTGTTCAAATATTAACAACTTAATTCTGACACTATCGAATGTTTCATGCGGTTATGACTACATCATCAGTCATATAAGTTCGTCCCAGTGTCCGTATATGTGAATTCCCTGTTAGTCACTTTCGGGATATTCCACTGAACGCCGTTCCTTCAAGTTGTAATGTGACATTGACTTTCTTATTTTTGAGATGATTAAAGCTGAAAATAATTCCCCAAGTTTCACTCGAAATTATTCGATTCCTTAAAGAAACATTCGTTCATGGACATTCGTGAGGCAGATTTATCATAAGCTGATCGAGAGACGACCCCGTGGAGGAAAATGTAAAACAGAAAAGAAAAAAGTTTCTTATGAATCTTACCCCAAACGATGCGATTCTGCAGGGCAGACAGGGCTAGCAAGGTCGCAGGGAATCCTGAAATAAAGTTCACGGAACACCCCCCCCCCCCCCCCCCTCCACCCTCCACAATCCTGGATCCGCTCCTGGATCAAGGGTCTATATTTTCTAGATGATAAACATTATTATCTTGAGGTAACTTTCTCTTTACAATAGACCTTTTCTTTAATATCATGAGACCCTAAAAACTGTCTATTGACCTTAATGACGTTCTTGGAAAATAAGCTAATTATTGTTAGCTTACACGGCTTAATTGTCACTGCAAGGTTGTAATATTTCTTAAGCTTTAAAATTCAATTTCAATTCAATTCAATTCAATTTATTTCTCCACACATGCAAAACATAGGAAAAAAATATATAAAATAAAATACATACATACAATACAATAATAGAACATGTACATCATATATAAAACGACTCCATATGGAGCAATGTATGTTTTACAAAGAAAAAATCAGCAAACGTGGTAGGGGTAGTCAAAAATCAAAAATGATTTTTCGAGGACTACCCCCAATGATACCACAACAACAATTATACAATTATATTATTTCAAGCTTGACGAATCAAATTGAATTGAGTCAAATCAAATCACCCCCTCTCCTAGGTGTCTATTCTGGAAGTCTGTCCTCCAGAGTTCCTTCACGATCTGGTCCTGAAGATGCATCTGTGTATCTTCACTCCGGGAGACTTGGTCTGTAGGAAAGGAGAGGTTGCCAGGGAGATGTTCATCATCTCCGACGGTCTCCTGCAAGTCATTGAGTGAGTTTTCACTGAATTACAATTATTTTATTTTATGTGAAATTCATTCACTGTGTAATATGTCTTGCCGGGTTTTACTGCAGTTTATTTATGTTTATATAACTATTTATGTTTTTACGCAATGTATAAAATTCTACAATTTAGCCATTACTAATGATATACTACTACTACTACTACTACTACTACTACTACTACTACTACTACTACTAATACTACTACTAATACTACTACTAATAATAATAATAACAATAGTAATAATGTTGTGTTATTACGTATAGTAGTTTCTTTTCCTACGCTATGTTGCAACTTACATTTCATATTTAATTTCATGCAAGCATTTTCTCATGTTTTTGATTGAGTTATGGAAATGAAATTATATGAGTTGGATTGAATTGAATGATAATAGCCCTAATGATAATAATAATGATGATGGAGAAAATAAATAATAACTGTTTAGATAGTATTGTAATGTGTCCATTCTTTTCCCCCCAAAATCACTTCTGTCCTTTAAATTTGTTTTACAGTAAGTCTGGAAGAGTGTTAGCTACGCTGAAATCAGGAGACTACTTTGGAGAGATTGGCATACTCGATCTGGAAGGCACAAGTAATAGGTAAAAAATAGGGCTATTCTGATTTATTTTATTCCAAGATAACTTCAACACCAAACAATTTCGCTTCTAAACACTACATATATTCAGAAAACTAGCCCCAAAACTATCCCTAGGATAGCGAGGTGGCTCAGTGGTAGAGCAATCCGTGACAGGGAGGACCCGGATTCGAAATCAAGTGGATTCTGTAGTGCCCTTTACTTATAGGCATTTAACCCTCATTACCAAGTCCATCGAAGAGTTAAAGCCGTTGGTCCCCTGGTTGCTTACTTTAATACAAGAGCACACGTGCTTTCTTAACAGTCAGATAAAATACACCGTCAAACCATCAACCATCAACTTGCGGTCGGTAAATGAATTACCACAGGCAACTAAATCCCCAAAACAATTAACCCAGAACAACTACCCGGTCAAAGACTTCAAGAACTAACCCAAAGGTTTATCCTATTCCCATGCATAATTCCGTAATTTCTTTTCTTTGTAAATTGAAACTGGAGAAGGATCATGCTTGACTTTTAGTTCAATCATTGACTTCCGATTTCCTCAAATAAGAACGAGCAGACATCACTTTCCCAATATTAAAACCCCAAATGCCCGATTCTTGTTTTGACAGACGAATGGCTGATGTACTTTCTGTTGGGTTCTCTGAGCTTTTCTCGCTATCTAAAGATGATATCCTGGGTGTGCTTAAAGACTACCCATCTGTAAAGGTGAGTAAAATAGCAAAAAAAATTAAAGGGTGTAGTGGTTAGATGTAGATTGGCTTTCCTGCACCTAATGTATACACATTCTCCACTCTCCAGAGAGCATGCCAGCCATAAGCCATTCTAACAGACGCCCACAATGCCTAGCCGAGTTCAATGACTTACGCACCCCCTCGAGTACCCATTTATTCTTAACTAAATGAGTACCCGGTTGGGCAAGATTGTTGAGACACCTCAGTGGAGATAATGATATAGAGATAATATATCATTTTCATGCCAGGGATCGAACCCAATGCCTTTACATCTCCCGCCAAGCCATCAAACCTCTCGACCACCACACCTCTAGGCTTTATATATTTACACAAGCAGAGACATGGTTATCCCCAATACAATATTAGAGGTGTCGAAGTCGAGTGGTTTAAGCACTTGACTTGAAATTCAAATTTCGTGGGTTCGATCCCCGACACACTGATATCTTTTAGGACGGCATTAATCTACATTTTGCCACTCCATACCCAGGAGAGAAATGGGGGACTTGATTGGGAATGTCTTTGTGTTAGTAATTGGCATATACCTGAACGGTGAACATATTGTAGGAATACTCTCCAGGGAGTGGAGATGGTGCACATTGTGTGTGAATGAATTCGAGGACCGGAGTAATAATAGATCTGTAAGGTGGTCGGAGATGGTATTTCGTATTGAGCGAGTTGTAAATCTAGATTATTATTATTACAAATAAAACAATCCTCTCCCTCATTATCTTTCATTCCCATTCCCATCTTTCATACCGTAATTGATGACAGACCGTGATCGAGAAAGAAGCAAGGAGAAGGCTCAAGACACAATCGATGAAGAAAGAACAATCAGACGACCACGACAACAAGAATGCCACGGATGTCGAGGAGGACATCGACCGTGTCAGTATCTCCTCAGAAATGAGGTAGGTCAATTTGATGTAGTTGTCATCCACTAGTTGGATAAATTGAGGGTATTCATCCTCCCCCTACTTCTATCTCTTTCTCTTTGTCTCTCTCTCTCTCTCTCTCTCTCTCTATCACACACACGCACATGCGCACACACGCCCACACACACCCATACACACCCCACACACACTATCTCGTTCCATTCTCTACTCTCTTATTCTCTCTCTCCGAGTCTCTTTTTCCATCGCTCTTTCCCCAGTATTATATCTTTTCTTGTTTTTCTTCTTCTGTCTAATGCAGTTATCAGAAACATGTTGATTTCTTTTGAGAGGCACACTTACGATAAACGCCTTTCATTATCCATGTTTTATTATCAAAAATCAAACGTTAACAATAAAATTTGTAAATGGATCACTTCAACAACTCACTGTCAACATTGCATTCTCCACCCCCACCCCTCACCTTGACCAATCCCTGCAGTAGTTTCAACTCTCCCATGGAAAACGGGAAGGACTCCACCAAGCAGGGATCTCAACAAGGTAACCAGACCAAGCGACACCGTGCGAGTATAATCTCGGCCCCCAACGTTCCGGTCAAGAAAAGGAAAGCGTCCATCCACTCGGGACCTCCCGATGTCGCCATGAAGGAGATAATGTCGATGGTTGAGAAAGTCGTGTCGGAGAAAATTGTAAGTTTTTACGATTTAACATTTTTGGGGGATGATATTTTTCATAAACAATTGACAATGCTCCATATTGCACTTAAGCATGTTAAGGACCACTCCATACTGAGAGCAATTGGTTGAAAACAGAAAAGAAACACACGACAGAAACAGTTTGGTAAAAAAAAATATTCTAAGAAAGTTACTGTGTTTAGAGTTCGAGAGCACTGTAACTATGAAAAAGAGGTTTGAATCAACGTATTGGTCATCTATTAAACTGTTAAGTAAAATTATTGATCACTACCCTTCCATATATAGTCAGTTGTACATGCTAACCAGTTATGGAGCTGCATTTTTAAAACATATAAACGCGTTTATTTATTAATTCAATATCAACGTTGATAATTATTATTATTATTGTTATAGTCCAATTAATTACTTTAGCGTCTCTATGCATGTATGTACCTGAGAAAAAGACAGAGTTTGTAATTTACCAAAGCACAGCTCTTTCAAATAAAGTTCATTTTTTTTGAAATAATTTAACTTAAAATACTATGACTAAATCAACCACATGAGATGGAATATAATAATCCAAAGTACATGGGCGGTGTGTGCAAAAGATCACGCTCCGTTACACTTCAATAAGAGGACATTGCAACAGGTAAAATTTCAAAAATATAAAATAAATAAAATGAATCCAATGTTGTGTATTTTTCTAAATTGTCCACAGAACTCTTTTGCCGAGAATGCTCGCCTGTTGAAAGAGACGAACGTGGATATTAGAGAGAGGTTCAGGCTACTCCAAAACGAGAACGAGAGCAAGACTGCAAAGATACAAGCTTTAGAAAAACGTATCAAAGAATTAGAGAACTAAAATGGTGTTTAAAGACCGTCACCACTACTGGGCAAGAAGGGATTAGACCTCACAGCGAGCCGTCGAGGTCACTGTGACAGGTTGCTATCTCATTAACTCAGCTCTCATTTAACATAAGAAAAAGAGGATCATGGGGGACCAACAGGCACCGATTGGGGAAGTTTTCTATATAGAGGGAGCAAGTAGCTACAAGTATGGCAGTGTGCCTTTAAGGTATGAGATTAAAATTACATACAGGTCTTTTACACCCTTTCGTGACAGTTGCCCACATTTGGTGAACATTTGGGTCAACATTTTTTCATTGAGAGTGCTACAAATCAGGCGCGGATCCAAAATTTCTTAGGGGAGGGGACCCAACTTTTTTTTTTTTTTTGCTCCCGAAAATTTTAAAATCGCGCCCCCCCCCTAACCTTGAGCGCCAGGGGGGGGGGGGGGGGCAACCTCCCAAAAATAAAAAAATCACGTGTTTTTACATGATTTTTTTTTCTCAAGGGGGGGGGGGCGGGCCCCCGACCCCCCCCCCCCCCCCCCTGGATCCGCCACTGCTACAAATTTCACAGAGTGTGTCCTTTTTAAAACTTATTTTGATGCCATGAATTTTAAAAAGAGAAGGTTTAAGATCCTAAATCTGGCACCATTTCGAGAGGTTTCGAAAAGATTTTTCGAAACAAGTCTTTAAAAAGTTACCCGACATCATTCGTGTCTATGAATTCTATCAGATACATGACTTTTCGAATAACATTAAAGCAATACAAAATACCAGTGTAGCCGATTTGAAAAATCAAATTTAATCAATTAAGCCATTAAATAATTTCTGTCATACGAAAGGGTCATCGAATAATGACGAGCGTAGCAGGGATGTCATAGGAGATGGAAACTAACGAAGGGGTGTGAGACTCGCACTCTAAGTACAAAAATGTGTTCGTAAAAAATTCCAAACTTGTCAGCAAATAGTTATGAAATCTGAGAATCTCTTAATCTCGGAAGATCTCGAGAACATTTTTTGGGGAAGTTAGGTCGCAGCTTTTTCAGATTCGTTTCAATAAGATATTTATCAACGATTAATGATTGATTACTATTTTGTATTTCTGTACTTAAATACCTCAAATTCATCATCTTATTCTTTGTGTTAAAATCAATCTCAGTCTAATGACATTCCAAGCATTTTGGAGCAAATTATCCTATGCCAGTCGCCAGTGAAACCATTTCAGCCTGGCGGACGTTGCCTTTCTTCCTCGCTCGAATTTATTTATTTTACAAACGGACGATGTCAAGTGTGAAAATGATCGAAGCGGTTTTCAGTTTGAAACTTTTTGATTTGGTACTTCGTTCAAATATAAATGTGTGTATATTTCAAAACCATAACGGGTATGTTATGTGTTAAAAACAATTACCAGTATGTGTTATGACTTTGGTACTTAACGGTACTTAATGGTAAGCGTGCCTTTCGAAAGTAACATTCTATGAACCGTGTATTTGGTCAAACTCATCTTTGGCTATTTCTGACAATAGAGTTTATATTTTCTGCATATGTACAATGTAATCATAGCAAAGTGACAAGAACATATATGTAAGTAATAGTTAACTTAAGACATGGGGTCTTTAGTTATAGTCTTACAACTAAATTGTTTGCGCCATGACATTCTGACTGTACACGTTTTTTTTCTTTTGGAAATATTTGACATCATCTCCTCATAATAAAAAAAACGTGGCATAGGCCTAATGCATATTGCCTAATAAAGATGTAATTGAACTTCTCAGCTCCTATGAAGTTTAAATCTCCGTGGTTTATATCTATTTGTAATATTTTCACCTATGAATGATTATGTATCAGTTGTATGTGTTTTTTAATTATTTTTCACAATCGTGTATTGTACAATCCTTCTATCAGCTGTATAAACAAATATGAGTGCAATATTTCTTTTTTTAAATAAATATATTAATGAATCCTAAATAAACCATTCCAATGTGTTTTTTTAGCAATTTACCTCCAGATAATGTATATTTCCAATTTTTAAGAGGTTAGACATAATGTAAAAGGGAAACTGCTGATAGGTCTGTTGCTTAAAAAGAGATTTATACTTAACAAGCGTGAATTTGAAGTTATTAAAATATGGATTCAGTTTACAAAGAATCACTACATATATTTTGTACACTGGGTTTTATTATGTTTGCAGTAGCTTATTTTAGGATGAATGCCCTTCACCTGTAATTTATAAATGATAATTTCGGAGCTTGTAAGCTACTTAATAATATAATAACAATACGAGATGCACAGGAAGCCCACTCCCCCACGGAATAGCGACGAGAATGAGAGAAAGAGAAAGAGAGGGGAGAAAGAGAGAGAACGTGATGAAAGAAAGAGAGAGAGAGAGAGAGAGAGAGATAGAGAGAATGAAAGAAAAGAAGAGGAGCGGGAATGAGAGAGAGGGGAAGAGAGGGAGAGAAGAGAGAAATAGAGATTGAGAGAGAAAAAGATGGGGAGAGCTAGAGGGGGAGAGATTATGAATGATGAGACAAGGGAGGAAGAGAGAGAGAGAGAGAGAGAGAACTAATGATAAGACAGGGGAAGAAGAAAGAGAGAGATAAAGAAAGAAGAGGAGACGAAGAGAGAGAGAGAGAGAGAGAGATTGATTTAACATGACTATCTTGATCATGGCTTTTGTAATGGTTATCCATATATTCAACACACGCGGTATGCCCTAATCTCTCTAACTCGTAATGGTGATCTAAACCATGGACCTACTTTTTAGTAGGCCATGTCCAAACACATGCAATGTTAGCAAAAGTTTCACACATCATGTAAAAGCATATACAAGCATTATAAATGTGGAAATTATATTGTGAATTTCATAACTTGTTGATAAACACATATCCACAAACTTGTAGCCCATTCTTCTTGTTTAGTTGACCCATAATTTACCCGTGGAATACCTATCCCGGTGCCAAAAATTGACCCAATAATTATTCTGCTCAATTGGTTGTACCAAATAGGCCATTTTCGTAATGTAACTAAATTTAATGCATATACCTCAATACAAAGTATTTCATTCACCTAATAAGATTAATAATATTTCAATAAGTGTTGCTAGGTAGGTCAAGCCATAACGTTTGTCCTACCTGACAACAAATAATTTGTATTGAAGCACTTCACATAGACTTATGCTTTAAATTTGGTTACATTACGAAAATGGCCTATTAGAAGGAAAACTGAAATGCCAAATACCTCCCGAAATGCAAATATTACTCAGGCAGCGAAGCGTCAAAATAAAAGAGAAACAGCACACTCTGCATAATACATTGCGCAAATTAGTAAGTCCACTGCTTTATTACAAGAAAACAAGTTTACACCTACTTTCTATGTGAATAAATGAGCAAGGTTTTGGCAACTTAAAGTGCCCGTTCGAAGAAAACCACAAATGGCAAATATCGTATCCCTAGAAACCGTTAAGCTAACAGATGGCCATTGTACAACTTTTAGGTCAACTACATATCGGGTGATTTATAAAAATACAAGTAAAACCTCCTCCACAGCATCGAGGATATACGAGAGATTCGCCAGAAAATAACGATGTTTTAATGACGTCACATTCTGAACCAATCCTGCCCAAGCGGGCGACATCCCATAAAGAGTGAATATAATTGTAATGCTATTATTTCTCAAATCATAATGAGTTTAGTGTATATAAATGTGATGGCATTTTACATCATTCAAAAAGGAATATGAAACCGATTCTGAATACTAAATTCTTTTGTTTTTATATACACAGGATAGGGGTTAATGAACAATTAAAAAGAAACCACCCTTTCATATTGAAACTTCCCCTCTTTAAACGCCGAACATATCCCGGTGTATACAGCCGAAAATACATTGGCTTCTTTATTTTGTTTACAAGCGACGGACTCCTTTATTTTGTTATCGCTGCATTTTTCATAAAACCAATACCATGCGCGGGGTTTATAGAGTGGGGCAATAGTTTAAACATTTATCCTGACGGTAGTGAAGTAAAAGAAATAGCTGAAGAGAAGATGACAAAACAGGCACTAAAAATGTGTGAGATGTTATGGGACATCGTCTGCTTGTGCATATCATATTCAACATGTGGCGTCACAAATCTCAGTAGCTTTCGGAGAGCTCTTCAGGTGCTATGTCGGAGCTGTATTTAAGCATTTTGTAATTTATAATAATCATTACTTCGAATGCTTCCAAGCATTGAATGTTGATAACCTTGTCTAATCAAAGTTTCACATTTGCAATAATGACAATAAAGTTAGTTTTTTAAATCAATGATCATTCTCTTTAATGGTCAATGCAATTTCTTTGAAATTAATTTCGTTAATTTCGATTTGATTGCCCTGCCATCAGCTTTATCGTGAGAGACTTGGAGAAAGACTAAAACCATGGATTCAGTTCCGGGTGCAAGAGGTACATAGAGTACCGAAGCTGTGACATCATCAATTTTTTTTTAGAATTTCTCAATTTTATTTATTTTCCGAAAGAGCATAAAAAATAATGTCCAAATGTCGAAAGCCAACTGAATATGTTAAGTATTGGCTGAGATATGCCCATCTGAATAAAAAGATTTCCTATAGGAGCTCAGTGTTGTATTGCTCAGTTATGAACCAGAGCAAAATAACACTGAAAATAGAAAATGAAATTCTAAACATAGATTGTTGATGACGTCACACTTCACCACTCTATACTGACGCCATCCGACCAGGTAGGTGTTTTCGGATATTGTTTGTTTGTTTGTTTGTTTGTTTTATTTATTTATTTAACCACGGTTAATCACACTTAATGTCGGGTGCGAGTCCAGTTTTACGGATGGCAGTTGACTGAGAATAAATATTTGTGGAAAATCGGATTGAGGGATGTGGATGTTGCGGAGAATAGTGGAGAAAATGGCAACATTAAAAGTGCTCAAACTGTGTTTATCATCTCTGTCTCTTTTCGTCTGTTTTCCGATGTTGGTACAAGGTAGGTTATTATAGTCAATTCAAATCCAGCTTGGTGTGTAATTGTTTGCGTACTGGGGTGATCCTGACTGAGTCGATTTTTTATGTCATCATGTATATATATATAAACATGATTCCTTTTTAAGGGGCGGTTTTCCTGAGAATTGTCAACAAAGTCAATTTTCCATTTTTTACGGCTATCCTCGTGCCGTTTGTATATACAGGTGACTAAAAAATAGAAACATAAGATTATGATTTTTTTTATACCTCTTATGTTTGCATGTAATTTGGGAATAGGAACAATGTTTTAGATATATAAATGTATTTATATAGTATATATATATATATATATCGCACCCGACTTATACTGGAAATAAGGGTTTTGACACTTTAAACCCTATGTAGTTTACATATTTATTGAACCTTACAAAAACTTCAGGTATAATAGCATAGAATAAGCAAATGTAAAATGAAATTGTGAAAAAATATTACGAATGAAGAACATATAAAACTGAATACGCTTAGCGTATCCTAAATACTGCCATTCGAATACAATGTATTAGCCTATATAGACTAAAGATAGTTAACAATGATGAATCTGCCTAATTGGCTTGAGCTTGCTTGTCCATTTGATGAACTAGACTGCTCAACCAGACTCTCCTGTACATCGAACGGAAGAACAGCTTCCAAGGATATCCTAATTGTGGCGTTGAAGTCTGTCTTTCCAGTCCTTACTCCACACTGAACACCCTGCTAATTCAATTGGGTAAATTAACTCTCATAAGAAAGTGGAACCTGACATTATATCAAACATTAGTTATGAACTGAATAATATGATATTTCAACAGTAGTAATCACATAAATGTCTCATTTGAACGTTAGTATCTGGCTTTATATTATGAACCCAGTAAAAATATGGAAATTGTATACAAAATCATATTTGTTCAATAAATATCATGACAATTTCGATACGCACTTTATATGGAACATCACAAACATTAACAAATATGATAGTCTTTCTTCCCGTACTAACTTACTAAATGTATAGACAAAATATAGAATTACAAGGTTAGACAATGCGTTTTGACTTAAAACTTTCCTTGGTGATGGATTGCTCAGCTAGTTGTCTTCTATAAACCTGTGCCCGCAACACCTCCGAGTTGTGAAAGAATACTCTTCTGAGTTTTAATGTGCAAAATAAGAATTATGTAGTGTTGCACCAATGCAATACCACTGGGCAAATTAGTAGGGTGGACCAACGTATCGACCCTATGTCGAGCCCCTTGAATCTTATGTGTCTTGAATCAGGAAAATGGCTGGTCTTAATTTATTTTCCCCCAAGACTCCCATTTGTGTTCATCCTTCATTACCAGTTCATGTCATGTAGCATATAAATTCATTTAGGACCAACATGCTTTCAGTCATATGATGTCACCTCTCCTGCAAAAATAGTTATTCTAATATAAATTACAGATTATCACCAACCGATGATATGTGCAAGAGTAGTAACCCTTGTAACATCTTGATCAGATATAGAAGCCTAACAGCAGACAGGACCGAAACGTCACCATCCCACCCATCTCCTATAGGGAATGTGTAAAATGCATGAAGGTTCAGATTTTTACGCTTTAAAAACTGGCTCTGTTAATTTTGCTGAAACTATGAACTTTGGCCACGAAGTGTTAGAAGTACTAAAAGCGCCCGATTTATATGTAATACCGTACAAACAAATATTTTTGAAGCAGAATATTTTTGTTTACAATTATTTTAGTTAAGATAAAGAATCTTAGGTCCCGCTCAACGAAGTCACGATTTTGGAAACATCACTCCTCGCTGCTCTATATCGAAATTTCAAAAAATATTTTGCTTAAAATGAAACACTGAGAAAATATTTTGGGTTGCTAAAACTTAGTTCAGTATTATCGCATTTAGATTTGCGTGTGAATATTATCTATCGCTCACATTCTCCAACTCAAGTACGCGGGATACATTATGAGCTGAGAAATCCTCCTTTTCAGAAATCGAAACGTACTATACCATGTATACTAGTCAGGGAATAATTATATTGATGATGATTAATAAGAACGCCGATATGCATAATAACGCCATTCTACCAATATGTACGGTGTACATGTACATTATAGTTGCCTATTATTCATACAAATTGACTCTGGTTTTGTTGAATGAATTGGAACGGTAAATGCAATAAAAAAAACTTCTACTATCATAAAAATTGGTGGACCACTAGCCTCTACAAAATGGTCAGGAAATCAGCAAATATATAAGTCAAAATAACAATGCAACTGTTTTTGTTATCACCTGAAAAAGCTCTGTGGTTTTCAAATATGCAATTGTGGTTCAAGGTTGTGGTCTACGTCAATTTTGTTTAGGGGACGTTACAGGATGTTTACTATTGTCCTTCAAAGAAAAAATTGTGTAATGCTTGAAGGGGCAGAATTTCAGTCCTTTTCAGTTTATGCGCAGTTAATTTCCTTTTCAGAAGTATCTCGATGACGAGAGAAATGCTTGTTACATGTGAGATGTCTGTTTGCTTGCTGCTTCCAGTGTCGGTGATTCGGGGCAGGCGCGTACGCGGGGGGGGGGGGGGGTTGAACCCCCCCCCTTTAACATTTTTTAACGTGTACGTTTTGGATGAACCCCCCCCCCTTTTTTTTGTGGTAATTGGTGACTCAAAAGAGCAGACCTTACCCCCCCCCCAAAAAAAAAAAAAATTCGGCAAAAAATTCAAAATATACTCTTACCCCCCCCCCCCCCCCCCCCCGCTTATTCAGCGGCCGGCTGAGTCGTTGCGATTTTGTCGTCCCCATTCTTATATTTTTGATCAGGGTGTTCATAGAAATGTTTAGACCGCCCCTAGGTGATCGCATTTTATATCAACATCTACCAACCAGACGCATGATAAACTTTACAAATCATAATATCCGCGACTATCACAGACTTGGTTTTGACCGTTGTATTACAATTTGGTAGAGATGTATTTTGAATATCCCAAAAGACTTACTACTGATGTAGGTTGGGCGATCAAAACGGGTAAATAAGGGACCACTTAAACAAAAATTGGTAGACCAGTAGCCCCTACAAACATGTCAGGAAATCAGTAATATATAAGTCAAAATAACAATTCAACTTTTGTTGTTAATACCTGAAAAAGCTCTGTAGTATTCAAATATACCAAATACAAATGTACATGTGGTTTTTAAGGGAAAGATCTTCATGATGTGTAGTCGCTAACCTCCTTAGCACTTTCTATCTGTCTAATAAGATATGCTTTTAATTGGTAGAATCGTATTTATATCGTTCCTTCCCGGACAGTGAGGAAGATGAAAGAGCTTGAAGGCAAACCCCATTGTGACCCTATAAGCTCAAAGTTTGCGTGGCCCACAAAACATTCAGACCTTTTTCTTTTTGATAAGAGCCACTTCCCCTTTCTTATTAAAGCTCCCTTTCACCTCGGTCCGATAAATGCCCCTTTTCTTTTAACAAATACACTTTTTTCTTTTAAACAAGTGCCCCTTTTTCATTCTCATAAGGGTTCCTTTTCATATCTGGTAAGTGCCCCATTTCATGTGCGATAAGTGCCCCTTTTCACCTCTGATAATTCCCTTTTAACAATAATATACGCCCCTTTTCCTTTCTACTAAGGGACCTATCCCCTATCCATAAATGCCCCCTGTTGCCTCTTATAAATGCCCAGATTAACATCTGATGGGTGCCCTTTTTCAGTCGACAAATGCCCATTTTCCATTTTCTTTTCTAAAAAGTGTCTTATCCCTTTCGATAAGTATTCCCTTTTCCTCTCATCATTAAACTCGCCCCTAATTAAAGCGACTGGGAGCAATTTCCCCCGATTTTGCTCGCTCTCATTTATATTTTTATAGATGATATAATTATGTTAGTTATCAAAGGTGTTTTCAGTTTTCCGTTATGAGAATTTGCTTATAACTCTAGCATGATTTTTTCTCACTTTATATGATGATTTTTTTTTGCACTGTGACCTTACAAATCTTACAAATTTTTACCCGCTCGCTTCGCTCGCTTGCAAATGAGTATTCAGACCATCACATCAAACTGCAAAGTAAGATGCTTAAGCATTATGCTGTATGATGAGAAAAAAATGTATTGAAATCATCCCTGATAATGTAACGACAACGTAGGGGTATATTACCAATGTATACAAATTTTAAATTGTATATTTTAGTTTTGAGATTTCCCTTTTTAGGTGCCCTTTTTTGTTGCCCCCCCCCCTCCTCCACTTAGTAAATCGCTCCACCGCCCTTGTACAGGCCTATGTACATATGCGTATATGGCAACTTATTTCGCTGGAGGGCTCAACGATGCTTGCACGAATATCAAATTTCCGTTGATAATTTGCAGTGAAATAGAATAGTTGAAAAGTTGTACAAAATAATCAAACTATATATGATATAAACTGATTGTCACTCTTCTCCCAAGAGTTAAATGGGTACCAGTAGAAAGGAATTTCTTGAAACCTGTGAGCACCGAACTCGGTAGCCAAGCTGGGGTATTCACGAGCTCTTGGAGCACTTAAATTGGCGTGGTGGATATGTGCAAATTTGACAATTTGAAATATTGTTATTCCAGTTTGTTATTGAAACGTTATAGTTTTCTAAAAAGGGGCTTAACCTCAGAGGTCATGCCTCTCAATCGGCTCATCAATAATTATTGATATAGGTCTTGATCATTCTACAGTAATTTGTTATTATTTAAGTGTCATTATGGTGTAGTCATGACATATAACTTACTTTATGGATTGAGGTCCAAAATGCATATGGAAAAAGAAACTGAGTATAGGCTTATACTGTAAAATAACATATTTAAAGGGACTTGGTAACATTGTAAAGATGAGAGAAAATGGTGCTAAGTTAGTGCCTTCAATGCTAGATGTACAATTAAAGAAAATCTGAAAGTTTGAGTGAAAACGGATCATTATTAACGACAAAAATTGGGAAAAGCTGATCTGATCGATATCTAAATTCTCCCAACTTTATCATTACAATAAAATTACATTTTACTTTTAGGTGGAAGTTAATCGTCATAAAGCAATTAATTGGCTCTATATACCATTCAAGACATTTAAGTGTCGAAAGATTTTAAAAGCCTATTTTTTGTCTAATTTTCATGGAAGAACGGTTGGGAAAATTCAAAAATGGTTAGGAAAAAAATTACTGTTAATCACTGTTAGAGGATGTTGACCAGTGTCGCCTTCTTAGAAAACCATTAATATCTTTGTAGTTTGAGAATTTTTCAGGATTTTTTGCATGTTACAGGGCTAGTACAGTAGAAGGAAGATAATAAGTAACATTTCATACTAAAATTACGCAATTTTTCAATCAACCTTCAACAATGTTACTGAGATACTTTAACTCTTGGCATTCCAGGTGAGGCTGTCCATATCACAGTGCTGACCTCTGTATACACCAATATAGATACATCTGGAGGTGCGCAGTATATATGTCACCTCAGTGTACCAGACGCTACACTATCATTTGGTCGATCAGCACCCATAACAACAGACAGATCACCACCAGCGGATGAGAGACACTCGGAACAACTTCCATTGGTCAGACGAGTTATATTCCGTACAGGAGATGGATGGGATAGAGATGGTTTCGGTCCTTTCTACTGTGAGGCTACTAAACCTGATCGAGATGTTACAAGGGTTACTACATTTTTCCAACGAAATGATGGTAAGATTATTATTCCATTCGTTATAATAATCATAAGATTTCTCATTTTTAAAGATTTATTATTCAGTGTGTACTAAAGCAGCTTCCTGTAGTAAGTAGTCAAAGTGAAGTTCTGACTTTTTGAGCATATTCCATGTGAGGTCAACATTACGTCAAACATGCCCATTTGTGTTGATATTGTTTACTTACATTAAAATCGTCAAACGAAAGTCCAAACAGATTTTAATTGCCTATTCTAATATTGAAAATGACCAAAACTTGTTATTGAAAAATATTAAGAGGAACAGATTTATTCCAATATGCAAGTGATTATTTTTTTAAATATATGTTTCAATGTACATGTACATGTTTGCAACAAGTTGCAAGCCTTATACAAATGAATGGTTTCCTGTAGTGAGTAAATGGCTACAGTGCACATGGCACGTAAATGTAGGTGCTACATAATGAATTTAATATGGTTAACATTCTTTTATTTGGTTAATTTATCACCCCTTTTGACAGCTAAATTCATATCAAGTGATGGATTGTTTACAAAGACAGTTAACGTGAATGACACTGGAGTGATGATCAGCATGACTAGCAGGTTTGGATCTGATGCAAGTGACAATGTGATTACTTGGATGAAAGATGGAAGTGAGGTTCTTACATCATTTGATGGACAGACTCAGATCAGCTTCCCAAACCCAATCCAGACATCAGACCAAGGAATCTATGAGATCTACTATGATAACGAGAGGAATCAAAGTAGAGGAGGATTGTACAGACTAATTGTCAGAGGTACATGTACAAGTGTATTCCTGCTTAATTCAGACTGGGCTTTTTGAGAGGGGTCATTAATTTCTCCAAGATAATATGGTTTGTTATGTTGCATGTAAAAAGTTTTGCTTCATATTTAGCCAAGAAATCTTTATTTTAGATTCGATTATGCAAGTTACATGTGGATGATGATCTTGACATATTCATTTATATTTCAATATTGATGAAAAAAAATTAATCTGAAAAATTACTCTCCCTATCTCATATCAGAATGCCCTGCTGGTAAGTGGGGTCCCCCTGAGTGTTATGGTATCTGCGATAAATGCTACAATGGTGGAGTCTGTGATGGCAAGTCTGGTCTATGTATATGTCCTAACAACTTCAACGGAACGAATTGTTTAGAAAGTAAGTACCGGTAGGCCTGTAGAATTGCATTTGGAATAATGATATAAAAAAAAAAAAAAAAATTATAGATGAATTGAGGAAGATATTTCTTGTCTTATTCCATGGGAAATGAACACAGTAATGAACATCTATTTTACATGTATCATTTCAAATATTTCTTTTTCCTTCTTGAAGAGGAGATAGATAAATCAGAATAATATTATACACCATGTCTTTCGAAATGTTTGTTTACATGTTACTCTTCACCATACAGGAATCGATTGCAAGAATAGTGTTGATTTATCATTTATCATTCTGTTTCTGACAAGCAGATTCGTGATCTTTCATAATGTATTATCTTTCATGAATTTAAACAGTCTGTTATTTAATGTAAAATGACTTTGTAAATACTTGGAAAGTAACCCTCTCTACCTGAGCTGCGGGTAATTTTACATATACATGTATATACACCGTAAACCAAGTTAATCACGAAAAAAATGAATGAAACATAATATACAGCTGGGAAAAGATTTGCTTTTTTAAAATTTTTTTATTCCTTAATAACGTATGAAATGTCAAAATAATTTATAAATGGATTTCTCAATAACATTAATTTTAATAAACGACGATCTTTGCTTTTTATTGTATAAGAGGGCTTTATTCAATTTCGTAAACCTTATTATTTTTAAAGAGCATTAGATACCATCGGTCATTTGCAAAGGAGAAGCAACCATATTTGAAATTTATCTTATCTTATGAAATCTTTATTTCTTATGCAAGTCTATAAGGTTTTTATTGAATAATGCAACTATTTCGTTCCAGTTTGTAGAACTGATGGTGGAAATCGGTTGGGATTGAACTGCGAGTTTCGATGTTCATACAGTAGCATTGATCCTGTCAGACAATGTCATGGGAGACTTTTTTGCCTACCTGATCCCTATGGATGTTCATGTGACGTCGGTGCCCATGGTCGTGCATGTAACACACGTAAGATTTCCGTTATACTATTAATTGTGCTCATCTAGTAGTGAAAATATATAGGCCTAAAAATAATCATCTCTCAGAATTCTGCGAAAATTCTAGTTTTTCTTGTAATATCAAATGCACATAATAATGTGGCTGGTTTCATAAGTGAGGTCAGGCGCATCTCAGGGGAGAAAAGAAGAAGAAGAAGAAGAAGAAGAAGAAGGAGGTGGAGAAAAAGATAAATGAATAAGAAGTTATTGTAACACAGTTACTCGTGAACAATATTTTTCTTTTCGACGAATGCATTGTATCTGTCCATCTTGATTTTTTTATTTTGAATTCCTTTACAGTATGTACTATAGGTACATATGGTCCAGGATGTTCACAGACATGTCACTGTGCAGTAGGTTCATCATGTAACATCTATAGTGGAATATGTACAGGTGGATGTCAGACTGGCTGGTCTGGAGACAACTGTCAAAGTAAGTCATAGTCAGCACAAAATCATAACAAATGATATGACAAAAATGCTTTCTAGTACTGAAAAGTAAGATAATTCAGAATTTTACTTGCACACTGTAGCTATGTAATTTTTGATATTTTTTCAATTTCTAACCCCATTGCTTACATGACCAGGGGCGCCTGTACTATACCCATTCGGAATAAGATAATTCACAATTATATAAACACTTGGTTATTATATTTTCTATTTTCGTAGACATACCCGCACCAAGTAGTGGTTTGTGGACAACTCCGTATGTATACTATTTTCATGTTTATTGACAGAGGAGACGAATGTTTTCTATGAATACGTGGATTTAACTAGTGAAGGCTCTGTTAAATTCAAGAATAGGCCTATATGTAATACATTTAAATCAATTTTGCATACAAAAGAAAGAAAAAAGAATCACTAGTGAAAATGAAAAAAAAAATTGCAAAGTTTGCAACAAAAAAAAAAAATTGCAATAGAAGCAATCTAATATTTGTGAAGTACATCTAATATTATTTACTAATAGTAATTGCTAAATTGTGATTTCTAAAATATTTCTTATCATCCCCAGTTCCAGATGAATGTGAAGGCGGTTACTATGGATCTCAATGCACTGATAAATGTCATTGCTTGAATGATGAACCATGTGATAAAGATACTGGAGAGTGCCCTGAGCAGAAGTGTACTCTAGGATACACAGTACACAGTGCCGGTGTCATATGTCAAGGTAAGATTCTATTTTTCAATAAAGGGTGTTGAATTTTCCATATCAATTCCTATTCCCTTTTCTCCTTTTTTTCCCTCAACATCCACCCCCTCCCCTTGAACAAAATTAGAAACAAAACAAAATATTTTTAATTTTTTTTTCCGTTGTCAGGATAGTCAACCTGTTCGAAACGTCGAGCCACTCCCGCCACTCATCCTCTTCTAGCGCTATATAGTTCTCCTTAGAACTATAAGCTAAGAAAGATAACCAACATTCTTTTCAAGACTACACAAACAGTCCTTGTCAGGACTAGACACCCTCAAGAAAGATTACCGAGAGTCCTTTTCAGGACTCCTCAATCCCCCCCCTCTCTCTCTCTCTCTCTCTCACACACACGTGGTACACCCGCAAGCATACTGTATATCCAGGGAGGTGAGACTTTAATCACATACCCTGGTATATCTACATCACCATGCAAACCGACACTTACAAGCAGCATCCAAGTACAAGTTTATTTGTGATAGTTTTTTTATTTATTTTTTTTTATCTTGCTTTGATCTTGATAGAGGTACTTATCCATTGAAGTGACTGGATTGCAATATTTTATTGCTGCAGACATGCAAATTTGTATTTAGTGTTTTCTATTTTTGCCTGGTTTGTGACAGGAACTTTAAAGTTATTAGTAATTGGTCATTATTTCTAATACTAGAAATGAATCCATTCTTTCAATTTTTAATATGATGATTGGTCAATGTTCTATATGGGATTAGTTTGCCATATGTACTGTAGGTTTAGCACATTAAGCAACACAATTCTGAATGGAATAAAACAAATTGGTCTATAGAGTCTGGTGTAACGTTGTATTTAATGTTTCATATCTTTACTTGGTTCTTGACAGGAATATCTAGATTAGTTTCAGTGAGAGTGAACCCATACCAACCTTCTACCTTCACATGTTATGTTGAGGGCATTCCACTTCCCGATGCATCCTCAGTTGATCTTTATCGACGCACCGGAGACATCAATAACAGGACAGGAATCACAAGGAGATCAAGCAATGTCTCAGGATCAGAACGGGCTGTTGTCTTTGATGTTGATAGTGTGTTTCCACAGGAATATGGGGAATACGTTTGCATTCTTTATGTTGAAGGTGTAGGCTATCCCAGTACGCCCATTACCAACGCAACCTATGGTGAGCAAACTGTGTGACATTGCTTCACTCTAATGTTCTTTGTGAGATAGTATCAATTCAATTTCTCTAAATGCAGAATAATTCTCAGTCACGCTGTCTGCATACAGGGTTACAGGGGATCGAATCAGTTATACGGTTAGTTTTTTGTGTGTTCTTGTGTACTTTGGTAAATGTTTTAACATATGGAATTGATTAGTATATAGGTGCAGTGGCGGATCCAGCCGGCGGGAAGAGGGAGGGGGGGGGGGGCCAATCCGTGAGAAAATATTAGTTGCGACTCAGTCATCGGTGAATTTTTTTTTGGACGTAATTCGTGAGATTTTTTGTTGTTGATTCTTGTTGTTGTTGTTGTCCCGTCAGCCCCCCCCCCCCCATGGATCCACACCTGCAGAGGATCCAGCCGGCGTCGAGGGGGAGGGGGCAGCAAAATCTTAATACAAAATTAAGTGCCGTCTCAGCCGGCAGGCGAATAAGCGGGGGGGGGGGGCGCTTTTGTTTTTTGTTTTATAAAGGTTAACTTTACGTTATTATCCAATTTTTTTTATCGTTTTGGGGGGCTGGGGGGGGGGGGGGCGGGCCGGAAAAATCGCTACGTGGATCCGCCCCTGTATAGGTGTGTCATTAATTTTAACGGTTATTTCAATCAATTGTATTAACTATTTATGTCTCTTTTCCTTTTTGTCAGTTCTGCCAGTCATTGAGAACGCACCAGTGATAGTGAGTACTACGTCAACTACGGTAGGTCTTCGATGGAATGCATGGTCTGAAGAAGATGACATAGGTGATCCTCCTCTGGTAGGATATGATGTCTTTGTACAGGAGGATGGTGACTGGGTAACGGATCAGAGAGTAGACCATCTCACAACATCAGCCATCGTTAGTAACCTGACACCCGACACAGATTACATGTTTCGTGTAGCAGCAGTGAGGGAAGGAACAGGTGGAACGGGACCTCTGTCTCCTAGGAACAACACAGTAACTCGCTCTGGAAGTAAGTTATCCTGAGAAGATAAATAAATAAATCTGCCAAGGGTTCGCCATGATTTCAGAGAGCAGAATACATTTATTGAAGATGCTCATTTTTCGATGTACATTATTTTGTCTACAAGAAAGTACATGTATTATACATTATAATAAATTAGTTGCCAATGTTCCTAATTTCACTATATACACACACACAATGAAGAAATACACGAATACAAATATATGCTAAATTCCCCGGTCATAGGCTGTAATACATGCAGGAGCCGCCGGATTTGTTGTATTTGATATAAGGTACATTGTATGAATCTTATTTCATTTATTGCAACACTATAGGTGGTTCTCTCAGTGGATCATCATTAATACCTGTAGTAGGGGGTGCCGTGGCTGCCCTCATTATTACCATCCTGGTCATTATTCTCGTCCTTGTCATCTTTAGAAGGTAAGTGACAGGAAAAAACGTTGTCAAAGGGTCATTAAAATAGTTGGAATACACTGTTAACAGACACAAAATAAACAAACACTGAAAACGATAACAAACTTCAATCCATTCTTTTGCATAAGTTGCAAATGATATGATATTCTTTTGTTTAAACTACAGAATGACTCAATACATATTTTGTGAAATAAATGAAATCAAAGATTACATATCAACCCTAGGAGTTTTCCTTTACAATGATGGGTGTTTGTGTTATGTACAGTACACCACTGTAGGTCACTGAGGAACTCCTTGCACAAAAAGTCTAATTTCTGCTGGATTGACAAGAAAAATCTTGGTCAATTGTTGATAGATAATATGATATTCAAATAGAAACTAAATAGGAATAAGTGTTAAACGAACATTAAATTTCATATTTAATTTTAACAAAGAAGGAGGAAATTAATGGGTTTTGTAATTGAATTTCACTTCCAGGATCAAACAAAGACGTTCAAAAGCTGACCCAGCCGCATCGCCCCCAAACAATGCACGTGAGATCTCCTCGAAGTATGAGAACCGTGTGTTTGATGACTCCAACCAAGACCCCCATACCTACGAAAACCCGAATGGTGACGCCCATGCCTACCAAGATCTCAATACAGATACCCCAAACTACCAGAATATTACCGACGCCCATACGTATCTAGATCCTAAGAAACCCAACACTGACGATACGTATCTAGATCCTAAGAAACCCAACACTGACGATACCTATCTAGAAGTCATAGCATCAGATCCGGGAGACACTTACGAAGAAATATAAAGGCAGCTCTAGCGAGGCAGAGGGTATATGGTGCCAGCATTGATACATGCTGGACCAATAATAATGAACAGGTTATGTAATACACAGAGTTGGCAATTATGTAACATGGTGCTCATACTACGGTAATACACTATTTCAATTGTTGCAAGAATTATAACGAAACTTAAACAGCTACTTTCAAAATGTTATTAGAACAATTAATATCTTATGTTTTATTTTATATTATTACTAGTTTGCAAATAAAGGGATGAAAGAGTGAATTTATGTCTAAACTCTTCAAAGTAACTGTTGTTTACAATGCAAAAATGCCACTTTTAACTTATTTAATACTTTAGTACATAAATCTTTTTTATCTGTTTTTCACTTGACGTGGTGTAACATTTCCCATCGTCAGGTCTTAGATATTGTTTATATAAAGACTGTCGCTCATAAAGTTGGAATATTTTTGTTTTACCCCAATTTATGGAATTATTTTAAAAATAATGTAAAAATAATAAATCTAGATAATAGTATACATTCTCAGATTTTATTGAATAATAATTTGATAATTTGTGTTTTGCGTGCCTGCTAAAGCATGTGTATGCTACTATAATTATCAACTAGAGGACCTACGCCCTTAAGTCATAAATGACAGTAATGAGGATTAATGCCCCACAAAAGGGCACTAATATAGCACATCAACACAGTTTTGATCCTGGGGCCTCACAGTTACGAGGCCATTGCTTTGTCACTGAACCATGACTGAACGCAGCGGGGGCTAGGGTAGGGGGTAGTTTCTATAAATAAAAATAAAAAAGAAAATGCAATAAATTTTCAATTATTTATTGCATTTTACCCCGGTCCCCAACATCAATAAATCCCCTGGACGGCCATGCATTATGGCTCGAGGCATTGTTGTATTCTTTTTCTTGTGAAGTCAATTCAAATGGATTGTAAAATTAAAAATGATTTGTTAGATTGCATTCTTTTTCATGTGATGTTAACTCCAATGAATTGTGATCATGTTTAAATAAATAAATGAATACAAATAAGATAAATTATCAATGATTTTATAGATCGTTGAAAAATACGAAAATTCCTCTCAGCCAGAATAGTGTTATCACCTTTTAAAACAATTCAAAGAAACATGTTTATTATATGCTAGCTAAATATTTTCTCCACATGTTGATGGTAATTAGAAGTTAATGTGACATTTTAGGCAACTGAACTATATAGGAGGAAAATGACAAATCAAAGTTATTAATTTTCCAGAAAAAAAAAGGGAAGAGAACACATTTTGTGTTAGATTCTCGTATGACATGTTAAATCTTATCAAGCCCTATCATTTGATATAAGAATCGTTTTAATTCCCCCAAAATTAAGAAAGATATGACGATTTCCATGTGTGACAATTTGCACTTGATAAATGTTAGAGGAAGAGAGAGAGAGAGAGAGAGAGAGAGAGCGCGAGAGGGGAGAATGTGAGAGAGTTTGTTTGTTTTATTTTATTTATTTACCACGTAAAATAATTTTCAACAGATAATAAAATTCAGTGGGGTTACATCAAAATATAAGATAAGATAACATAGCTGAAATTTATGAGGTTGAGATAGAACATATTGGCTTAAAATAAGACATTCTGTCGTTACCAAAATAAAAACAAAATACAAAATAATTGTAAGAATCGTATTTGAATAACAAGCAAAACAAAGGAATAAACATTAACCTCTTCTTGACAAAAAAGCTAGTGTACATCCAAAGTTTAGAGAGAAGGAGAGAGAATAGGGCGGCGAAAAAAACTCGGCTACAGTTAGCGATTCGCACGAATGTAGCAGGATTATGTTTGATGGAGGTATGTGAAATAATACAAAGAATGTTTTATTTGGCATCTTGTTTTGTATGACGTAGATCTACCGAATATTCAGATGATAAATGAGTTCAATTGTTGAGTTAGAATGCATAATACTGCATGGTAAGCGAGTATCAAAGGGTGCAAATAAAAGAGGTTATTCAAAGAGTGCATGTGGGAACGCAGTATACAAAGTGAGGGAGGGGAAAGAGCGCAAAAGAAAGGGGAGAAAAATAGAAGAGGACGAGAAAAGATAGAAATTTGAGGTTTTTCATTCTTATAGTAGAGCGCTATGATAAATTCAATATTTTAGATGATGACGACGACGATGATTATGATGGTGGTGATATTATAAGTTCGATCTCGCGACATAAAGGGAGACATATCCTTCTCTTCCGGTTCCCCTCCCCCACTCTTGCTTTCTCGCTCACTGCAGCTTCTCTTTTCTCCCCTCAACCTGCGCATAATTCAGTCGATCGCCATCTACGACTGATCATTGTACAGTAAACAAACTCTACACATGTGTACGTCTGATTTTTAATTTGTTTTGAATTATTTAGAAAATATGACCTCTCGAGGTGATGCGAATCCGGCAGCGAATCCAAGCGATGACGGGCATCCGGAATTCAAATTCAGCTCGCACACATCTTTTGAAGATTTGTAAGTATATCTGCTCCTGTTTACTGGTCACCGACCGACCAGAATTTAATATGTTGTCCCATAAATTGAAATTCGTGTTTGATATATTGACCATGTTACATGGCATGTTGACAAGGTCGTTTTTATAACGAAAGGATGTTGAATTCTGATCGAGAAGAAACTGAGGAAGAGGAGACGACGAAGAACAACAAGAAGAAGGAAAGCACAACAACAACCACAAGAAGGACATGATGAAGAAAAAGAAGGTGTAGGAGAATAAGAATAGATGGAGAAAAAAGAGAAGGAGAGAGAAATTAAAGAGAAAGGGAAAAATGGCTAGATCTACTCTTTTGTTTGTAATGGGAGTAGTGAGAAATAGCTTGAGAATTTCCAGGATTGTTTGTATATGAGAAATGATTAAATTAATATTTTGAATGCTTTCATATTGAAAACCCATTGTTAGCAAAATATATATTTGATAAGCCCCTGAATTGAGAGTATCCAGTATTGTAGTTCAATTCTGACTGCATGTCCTGTTATCTGTCATTCTTTCGAGATCATTACGTTCCTATATACTGTTGGTGCTTAAAAGTTAAGTGCTTTTCCATCACCTTTTGGACTACTAAGTATTTAGTATATCATATTTCAAAGAATTCAATTAGGGAGGGGGCATAGTTTTTTTTGTTTTTTGTAAGTGATGTATCGCGTATGCATGCAAAATGTGTTTGAAATGGTAAATAAGGGGGTAGGGGGCATAGGCTAGTTGCTTGCCCCCCTCCCAACGTTTCAACTTCTGGTGCTAGAAATGTATGCATGCAACTAATTTATCATAGAACAATATAATTCAATATAATTCAATACAATTGAATTACAAGATATTCATCATGAAATCTAAACAGTGATTTAATTGTTGTAAGTCATGAACATTTTCTCTTTTTAGAAATTTCAAGTCCATATTTATATACTAGCTGACACCATAACATCTTAAAAGTAGACTGCATTAGAAGTGAATGTAATTTATTGGGAAATGCATATACATGTTCAAATCGTTTATTTATAACCTGGTTTGCTATTTTTTGTTTGTTAAAGTTGTATTTTGTAATTTTCTATATTTATTTATATTTTGGTTGAAATGTATAAACTTTTTTGTGTCATGAAGGGCCTCAACGAAAACCAGTATTTATTTGCTGATTAGGCTACCCTTCTTTTAAAAGATGTGTAATAAATAAATAAATAAATAAATGTATAGGCAAGTCATTTCTTTAAAAGGCAAACAAAATATAAAACACTAAGACCATCCAAAGATTATCTGACAACATTCTAGTATGGCGCCCTCTATAGACAGAGTGAGTATTGTGTAATTGCCTGTGATATTCAAGGGTCATCTGAGGGTTGGGGAGGAACTTCATAAAAGTTACTTAAAGATAAACTTTAGTACTGGTAATGCGATTGCATTGTGAAAGAAAAGGTGTGGAAAGGATCAGAAACAGTTGATCATGTAGCATGTAAGTATTTCTGTGCACTGCAAGGTTCTGGAGTCATCAAAATCATAATAAATTTGGCCGAGTCTTGGTAAAGTAACAAGCACTCACATAGAAAGCTATATATGGGACAACACACATGATGTTGGGGCTAGTACTACTTTGATTTCCTTGTCTTTCTATGCTCATTACTCAGCCAGTATACATTTTCCTCCAAAATTGTTCGGCACATGTCATTTATTTGTAATCTTGAACATTCAGTGTAAGTTTCGTTTGATTCTGTGAGAATTTTTTTTTTTTTTTACCAGTACTGGAGTTTATCTTTAATTAGTTATTATTAGGGATCATAGGTTAAGGAAAAACTGTTGATCTGAATTTGATTGAAACCCAAATAATTTGTTCTACAACAACAACAACAACAAACAATAAAGAAAAAAAGAAAAGAAAATTTTGTAAGGGGGTGTGGATTACCGGTAAACATTTTAAAGTCTGTTTTGTTAGAATTTTGATGTGTTTGGGGTCCAGATACAACGGATTCAGGTTTTGAGCATTTCTACTGTGCCCTGTACTGTAATATTTTAGTGAAGTAATGTTATAGATGGTAGCAACTTGACAAAGGGATGGGTACTTGTAGAGGTCAACATTTTGTGACTATATTAATTTTAAAGGGGGAATCCACCCTGATATTAACTTGAAATTTTAATTAAAGTAGAAAATGAAAGAACAAATGAAAATGAAAGTGTGAGCAATATCTGATTATATATAGGAAATTGATAATTTTCAAACAGTTGTCATAAACTTTTTTAGTACAGGATAAATGGGAGGAAAGGCCACAAGATACTTCACAGATTTGCCCATTCATGTTTGATAGATTGCACCTTCAAAGATTCATAACTTTCTCATTTTTAATTGGTTTTTGTTAAAAAAGTTCACTGACCTGTTCCTCTAATTTTTCTGCTTCTATTAAAACCAAATAAATATTAGGGTAGATGTCCCCTATTAGATCAGGACACTGTGGAAATGGATTTATTTCTGCATCTTAACTACATTTAGAGTTGTACATGTACACACAAACCATTATATTCCAGCACATGAACTAAATATGAAATAGCATGATACTGTATATACAGTGTATAAGCATAGTTTGATAACATACAATTTTTAATGTCATTTTGACATATTCCTTTGCAGAAGAGCTAAGGTACACACATTTGCAGAGGAACGAGATTGGGATCAATATCACACGCCCAGGAATCTACTCCTAGCTATGGTAAGCTTACCCCCCCCCCCCCCCCTCTCCTTTAAACTAATGTCCAAGGGGATATAAAAATATGTACTTATTTGTAGGGAAATTGACCAGTCTATATTATGGTGCTTGTCTCACTGTGCTCACATATACTTTGTTAACTTCACGCGCAACCACTGTGTCCTTTTATGGAACTATTCAATATTTTTTGCTAAACTGTTCCAGTGCCCAGCAGTCAATAGTGAATTTCAACCTGGGCAGGGGAAGGGGTCACACCACCTCTCACCCCCTCCCCTCTCACCCCCTCCCCTCTATACTAGATCTCCCCCACCTGTATAGGAGATTGTTCACATAGGATTGATAAGAGCAAAATATTTCAATGTATGCTGGTGCAATTTTCTTGATGACATTTATACATGTGTTCTTTGCACTCTAATTTCCACTGGTTTCACTCTCCCAAGAATATCTTAATCAAGATTTAACAAATAATAGAGAATTTGTAAGTACATGAGTATTGGGATATGTACCAGGTACTGACTGATAGATGAGTAAAAAGTCTATTATCTCATAGATAATTACCATGTTCAAAGTTAGGGTAAAGTCAATATCGCGATAAAGTCAGTTTATGATTATAAGATATTATCTAATTTAATTATTAATGTTCATACTTAACCTTTCATATTATGTTAATTTATTCAAAGTTATAAGATAATTTTGTGGAGTTTGAAGAAGGGCAGTAGAGTTCAGACCATATCTGATTTTGTAGATCATTGTATACGTAATGTGATAATCAAAATTCAAAAATACGTATAACATATCATCTGTGTAGAGCCTTGAGAGCTTTAACTCCAATTTAAAGTGTATGAGTTAAAGGGTAAGACCACCCAGAAACTAATCAGGTTTTAATAGAAGCATGGCAATGAGAGACACAGGCCAGTGAAAGTTTGAGCAAAATCCGATTTAAAAATAAGACAGCTATGAATTTTTAAAGGCTTTTATTTTTTCCAAGCCAAAAGCAAAATGTTGCAAAATGCATTGTTATTGTCAACAGTGAATTTGTCATTTTATGGGGGATGGATTCATTTTGGATTGTGTTTCAAATGATTAACAATGCCTTTTAGTATTTTTTTTACAACATTTCACTTTTGACTTAGCCTCATATTCAGGTGTACTGCACATTTCATGATCTCAATCATAATCATTACAAATGATGCATCATTGTGCACAGGAATAAGCAGGCTTTTCAATGATACCAAAAATCCAAGTATATATGATGAAATAGCAAACAAGAGAGATATGAACGCTCAAACTTGAAATGCTGAACTTTTCTTGAGGAGTTTATCTCATAACATGAACTTGAAACATCTGAACACGCTTGAACAGAAATTGATTCATTACTGCAGCCTATCGGGTGGGAGCCCTCGGTTGACCTCGGTTGACCTAGGAAAGGCAAGATGACCTGACCTAGGTTCTAAACAAAACCACATTCTCATAAATTTTTGCAAGATGAAGGTGATATCACCTCACAAGAATGCATCGCAGGACTTGCTGTCACCGAAGAGGTGCATTCCTATTAGCCCAAACAAGTTAAAGGTATAGACCAGTTTTGGAAACGCCCCCTCTCAAAAAATGAAATGGAAGCTCTTATTACCAATCATGTGAAAGAATATGTTTGGACTAATATTGATGATACAAATTTTGCAGGGAAACCGCCTACTAATTGATATATTAGGTAAATTATCAGATCGATCTGGCCTGGATAGATATCGCAAATGCACTTCAACATTGAACATTTGGGCATATATTTGCAATCTAAACCTCTGAAGGCAATATTTCAACAGTATTGGATGGATATTATGCACTCAAAACCCTTGAACCGCAATTTTATCACTACCGGTTTTTTATCTTTAAGTGAGAAGGATGAGGGCTGGAAAGGTAATCTGATAATGTATGAATTAAAATATGGAAAATGATAAGTGAGCTTTCTCATTCTATTTATGTTAGTTTAGAAGTCAATAATAGCAATGTCGCCTGAAAAGGATTACTCTTCAAATGCCCTTGAATTTGAAATATATGTCAAGGAAAAGTTGAAGTGTGTACTGCTTGGTCCAAACAGTCATGCCACAAAAGTGTGTGTAGTCATATAAACACATTTCTGTGTACAGTACATGTCAATTTCTTATTATTTTGATGATTCCAAAACCTCACTGTACACATTAATTATTTTGAGCTGAACTTAGTTTGCCCGGGTCTAACTTTTGGGGCTTTTTTTTTAGACAAAGGCTAATGAGAACAAGTCTTCAAGAGTTATGTAGACCTACCAAGAGGGTTGCAGATTCCAGCCATCTGCCACTATTTTTGGTTCACGCAGACACAGAAATAATAAGACATCAACTTGACACAGAAGTAGTATTTTTTATGATGTTGTTTTTTTAGCGAAGCCTGAAGGGATATGAAAGGAATGCACAATTTGAAGTCAGAGCTATTTATGTGATATTGTTGTTTTATCTGTATAAAAGGTTATACATTTATTTCGTTTTCAAACATTCTTTGTCTTTCAAATGGAATCTATTTATTCTTTAAGTGTCTTATAGATCAGGACATTGAACTTGAAAAAAAATGAAAGAGTTTCATGTGTCAGTTTGTTAAGTATTGTATTGAATATGCAGTTTAAACCAGACCTGGTATTGATATGGTTTGATAAATTCAACAGTTCCTAAAAATACTTAAGATATGAGAAATTAAATGACAAAACACCTTGGAATTGTGCATAGCATGTAGGCCTTTATTATTGATTCAGAGGTTAAAATCTTAATTATTATCTTGAGATTAATGTTGAAATATGTATTACCCAAAGTGTTCACTTTGAGGGAGACATTCCCCTCACTGTAGAACTCTAAACTGAAGCATATCTGATGGCATTGACCCTGGCATTGCTTCCTTGTTTTGCCCTTCCACTGCTTTGAACTTTGACCCTGGCCTTTGACCTCATGACTCATAATTCCCATTCCATTGGACAGTCACAAGACAATCCCACTTGAGGAAAAGATGCAGCTGGCATTATCCGTCTTTCATTTCAAGGAGAGAGAATAGGATGGAGGCATGTTAAAGGTATAGACCAGTTTTGGAAATGCCCCCCTCTTTAAAAAAATGAAATGGGAGCTCTTATTACCAATCGTGTGAAAGAATATGTTTTGACTAATGTGTGATGATACAAATTTTACAGGGGAAACCGCCTACTAATTGCTATATTTGGTAAATTATCATATCTATCCGGCCTTGATAGATATTGCGTAGTCACATATACATCTTTCTGTGTACAGTACTTGTAACTTTACCAAGACTGGGTCAAATTTCTTATCATTTTGATGATTCCAGAACCTTGCAGTACACACCAATACTTATATGCTAGATGATCAACCTTTTCTGTTCGATTCCACACCTTTTCTTTCACAATGCAATCGCATTACCAGAACTCAACTTCATCTTTAATGATGTTTTTAGAAAGATTGGAATAGAAGTGGAGGGACTTATATGGAAAGGGTCAAATGGTGGCCTACATTGCGGTCACAAATTTGACCCACTCTGTACCAGTGTACATGCACCTACATAAAGTTTTGACTAGACAATAGATGATATAAAAGCTAGCATCTCCCCCCTCTCTCTCTCTCTCTCTCTCTTTCTCTTTCTCTCTCTTTCTCTCTATGCCATATATCCAAATACCTTATCAGTCATGTTCTCCCACAACTCTCTGTCAGTAATATTCTCCATTCCTCCTCTCTGTTTAATTCCATTTCTTCAAACTATTCATCGAAATAATCTTCCTCATATACTTCCCCATCTTTAGTGTCAGTGCCAGATTCTCTAAATCTCATTTGCAACATATCTATCAACATACACTATATCTTTTTTCAGGGTTCAACACTGAATTTGATGTGAAACTAGGGTTAAAATCGAAAGGGATCAAAATCATCTTGTTTTTCACATTTGATTACAGTAGTTGCATAGTTTGATGGAATTTCTTACGGTTATGTGCCCTGAACCACCAATAGTGACCAGCCTTGCATATATATACATCACTCCTCTCAAACATACTGCTGAATACAAAATGTAAGCGTCACTGCCAGGGTCTGCTAGTGCTACCATGGATGTATGGTAGGTCCATGGCGCTACATACAGAACACCAGAATCCCAGTCAGGATTAGCAGATTTAAAAAAAAATGTACCGGTATTTGTTATCCAAACTTTTGTAAAACACCAACATCAAACTCAAATCTTGAAATGTAAATCAAAGGTGTTGTTCTTCTTTGCTATCCTGTGTTCTACATGATTTCATCCTATGAGGGACCAAGTGCACTTTCAAGTGCACTGTGGACCCCAATTAAGGAAAGTGGTTATGAGCCCTGCTCGTTAAACTGCATCCTGAAGAGATGATACTCGTTTAAGCTCTTCAAGCTTTTGCTACAATGTGATGATTACCTTTTTTCTGTATACCATTTTTTTCAATGTCATACCGATATTGTGAAAAGTTCAGTAATTGTAAAAATGAAAATATGTGTCATTTTTAGAAGAATAAGAATTAAATCAAATAGATTATTGTATGCCCCCAAAATTGTTGCGCAAAGTCAAATGCACCTCCAATATACACTGACATGCAACTATGTTTCAGATTGTTTTCACTGTTCTTCTACCGGATCACAAGTATTTCCACCAAAGCCTCTCAAATGAGGAAAATAGGTCAGAAATCTGACATCAACTATATTTTGATCACAATCTGCTTTTGTACCGAGTGCCACTGACCATGGACCTACTTTGTAGTAAGTCCATGCACTGACCAACTGGAGAAAATATGTGTTTCTTATTGTGAGAATTCTCCTTGACACTTCCTATACTCTCTCTCTCTCTCTCTCTCTCTTACTCTCTCCCTCTCTCTATCTCTCTCTCCCTCTCTCTATCTCTCTCTCCCTCTCTCTCTCTCTCTCTCTCTCTCTCTCTCTTTCTCTTTCTCTATAGATCTCTCTGTCTCTTTCTCTCTCTATTAAAGATTTTGATTGAGGTCAAATTATTGCGTATTGTGTTTTGTATTGTTGAAATTTCCCTTATAACCTTCACTATTTTTTTCTCTTCTCTTCAGTATTTAGTAAAGTGTCATGAGGATGTGGTTGAATAACTTTCCTGTATTAGCCACGATTAAGCCCTATAAAATGACCCGGTGAGAATCCCATTCAGTGCTGTATTCAGCAGGGCTTTATACCTGATTCAAGGATGTCTTTTCACCTCCCTGCCTGATTTGCCTTTGAATTCACACCAACAATGGTTGGAATGTGAAATAGGACCTTAATACCCCCCCCCCCCCCCAATCATCATCTTCAATCAGGCAGGGAAATGAAAGGGGAAGGTATTTTGGGGAAAGCCTGTTGTTCAGAGCCAGAAGGGCATTGAATCTGAGTAAAAGTACATTGATCTACATATCGTCCTTGTTTTCACGAAGTGACGGTAGTGAAAAAAAATTGCATTCACTTTGCGTTACGATTTTCCTCACTACCGTCACTTCGTGAAAACAAGGACGATATGATCTACATATGAGTTTAATGTCCCTTCTAGCTCTCAAGAAACTGTTCTTCCTCATAAATGGCTAATAAGCATTATAAGCTTTTAGGATAAACATTTAGAAAGTACAATAAACAGAATTCTTGTTAAGAGAGTTTAAGAATAAGGATGCAAATCCCCTCCTTTGATTAGACTACTCAAAGAAGGTGAAGACTTTAGAAGGAGAGAGAGAGAGAGAGAAAGAGAGAGAGAGAGAGAGAGAGAGAGAGAGAGAAAGGGATGGGAGATACAGAGGAAGGAGAGGGAGAACAAAGAGAGAGGGGGGGGGTATAGAGTGAGAAAAGGGGTGTGGAGAGATCTTGGAGAGAGTGGTGGAGAGAGGAAGTAGAACATATGGATAGGTGGGTTGACAGAGAGAATGAAGAAAAAAGGAAAGAGAGAAGAGAGATAGAGAAGGGGTGGGGTTGTCTGATTAAAAAGGAAGTTCTGCCAAGGAAAATACAGCTTCTCATATGGTGAGACCATGGATAAACTAGTACAATGAATGTATAGCCTTGGTAAAACCACAGAGTTTTTTTTAAAGATTGAGACGACACTTGTTTTCACACTATGTTCATATTATGTTCATGCTTTATATCTTCTCACTATTTGCACAGTATTCACATTCCATCCACATTATTTTCACTACACTTTATACTGCATTCTTTCAAGAATGAAAGAGTTTGTTTTCTCACTTTTGTTTTGTTTTTGTGGTGAACAAAAAAAAACGATAGAGGGAGCTTCTGATTGATTCATCCAAAAATAACATCTGTCATTGTGAAATAGCATTCTTTTGGCATCCAGTCAAAGTCAACACACATGTAGGTTCAGCCACAATACGTATACCTTGGTGAACACATCATATGTATTCATATCGATACTATACATACATTATACCATATTTAAAGGTACAGACCAGTTCTGGTCATGCAATTGCATTGTGAAAGAAACGTTGTGGAATCGATAAGAAAAGGTTGATCATCTAGCATATAAGTATTGGTGTGTATTGCTAGGTTCTGGAATCATCAAAATGATAAGAAATTTGGCCCAGTCTTGGTAAAGTTACAAGCACTGTACACAGAAAGATGTATATGGGACTACGCGATATCTATCCAGGCCCGATAGATATGATAATTTACTGAATATATCAATTTGAGGTGGTTTCCCGACAAAATTTGTATCATTCGTATTAGTCAAAACATATTCGTTCACATAATTGCTATTAAATAAGAGCTTCCATTTTATTTTTTGAGAGGGGGGTGTTTCCAAAACTGGTCTGTACCTTTAACCCTGAAAGTACACTCAAGGGGGTCTCAGTAAACGTAATCTGACTTTTGCCAATTCACATTGAAGAGCCCTTGTCCCCATCAGCCATACAAACTAAATACCATGAAGACTAATGGTACAAAGAAGTTTTGCCTCTAGGTATCTCTCTGCACTTGGGGTATTGAAAACAGACCAATGGTGAATGGGAGGGGGATGGGGTATGCAGGGGGCACATTGCCTGTTCCTTATAATCGTTCATCCCCCCCACCACTCCCCCCACAAAAAACTCTTGTAATTTGAATAAGTGCATGAAGGTAGAATCGTTTGAAGTAAAGATATTCTGAAATGACTTATTGTATTCATATTTCCAAAATGATTTATTGTAATCCGAAATGACTCCTTGTTCGATGAAAACGTGTTCTCTTTATAAAACAAGATTGAGCACATAATTCATCACAGCGTATAATCACAAATGTATGCATGAATGCAAACTTGGCAAAAATGAGATTTGATGGAAAATTCATCTCAAACCACATGAGCTTAATCATCCATGGCAGCAATACTGCTGAGGCATAATAGATTTGCCTAACTCGGACGTTTTTATTTCCCATTTTAACTCCCAAAAGTGAATATACCTGTACATGAAGTAACATTAATGTCTATCTCTGCAGGAATACAGGAAATATAATTTATTTTCTTGTGATCTTTGACTTTTACAGGTTGGAGAAGTTGGTGAGCTTTCAGAAATCTTGTAAGTAAATAAAATAGTAATGTAATTTCTGTCAGATGATAACTCTCTATTTTTTCCTGACTCTTGCTTACTCTCCCCCCTCCTCCCCTATCTCCCCTTTCTCCACAGCTCCTTGTCCTTTCCATTTCTTATTTTCAACCAACCTGTATGTTTTTTTTTGAGGTTTTTCACTGGAGGAATTAAAGAAAAATTTGAGGAAATCTAGACCCACAAAAGTCATTTAGTCCAATTTCAACTTTTTTTTTAGCCTGCAGTGAATTAAAAAATGAAATGTTATTACCTGTAAGTAAATGTTTAAAAAAATTACTACTTGATTTTAGCCTGTAGTGAATTGAAAAATGAAAGTTTTATTAATGGATCGACCCATTGGATTTATGTGTGCTGGAAACATGTAAAAATGTAATAGACTAGCTTGGAATTTCTCCATTTTCAAAGTTCTAGACAAGAAACTAGAATTCAATTTTCTTTGGCCATATAAAACCTTTGTTGATGCAGTTGTTACAAGTCTGATTGATCTGTTGTATTACCATTTGAACAGAACTACTGTATGTGAATTTCTGAAACTCTATTTGCATTTCAGTATGTAAGCAAACCAGATAGATCCTTCCCGCCTATTTCATGTTTTTTTATTTTTTATGTCTGTCTGTCTGTCTCTTTCATTCTCGCTCTCTCTCTCTCTCTTCATTTATTTCTCTTCCTGTATTTCTCTCTCTCCTCTTCTCTCTCTCTCTTCTCTCTCTCTCTCTCTCTCTCTCTCTCGTTTTTCTATGGCTCTTTATTTATCTGCTTCTCTATATTATATTTCCTTTTCTCTCTGTCCCTTGCTCTCTCTCTCTCTCTTTCTCTCTCTCTCTTGCTCAATATCTCCATCTTGTCTCTCATTCTCTCTCTCTCTCTCTCTCTATCACATCTCCGTCTCTCTATCTCTTTTTCTACCTATTTTTCTATCTATTTCTTTCTTGCACTTTCTTGCACTTTCTTTCTCTATTTCTTCATGTTTTACTCTTCAATATCATTCGCTGCATTTATTTCTTCTTATTCCTTTTCTATGTTTATTCATTCGTTCAATTTTCTTCTTCCTCTCTCTCTCCCCTCCTCTTATTTTTTGTGTCCATTTCTCCTCCCTTTGCACCCCAGACCCATGACTCTGTCAAATCTCAATGTATCCATCTTGTCTTTCACAAAAACTTGTTTCCCTCCACAAAGATAATACCCAAGTTAAAAAACTGGAAGTTTACAAAGCATAACTAAATCAAATACAACCCCATTTCAGAGACCTTGCGGCGTGTCAATAATGAACCCATGTTCAAATACATCTTGGCATTCCTGCCGAATCTGCCCTTTGCCCCCCTCAATTTCTTCCATTTCTTTTATACCAATATACTCCTTTGAATTTCTGGCCCAGTATCTCTCGTTAGGCATTCTTTGGCAGTCCCACCCCCTTTTCACACTACCCAAGTACATGGTATGCCTGTACAAAGACTCTATACATCCAGCTATAAGAGGAGTAATTAATTTTTCTGATCTGAATGTTATATGTAGAATAACGTTTAACAAAACGCTGTTTGAGCATTTTTTGAACAGAAAGTTGACAAAAAGATCTCTAGTCTGAATGTCATATCATATTAAAAGAAACTGTATAACTAAGCAGGGCTTATGGCATGCACTGATATTTGGCCAGCTGTAATGTCAACCGACCTCTTTAAATGGCTATCCAACACTTGTAATAAGTTCATTTTTATGAAAGCGGAAAAAATATCTAATTATTAAAACAGAATGGCAAAAGTTTGAAATTAATCTGGCCAATAGTAAGGAAGTTATGAACATTTGAAATACGGGATCACTAAGTCCATGCGAATCTCAAATTAGCAGTTAGGTCAGTGGATATGATGTAGTAGGGGATAGATTTTCTGTTTGTACAAAAGGATCATTAATTCCTGTTTTTTTCCTAAGTGTCTTCTCTCTTGGGGCACTACCCAAAATGTATTATGAATAGCATATTATTATAGATTCTCTAGGGAGAAAAGAATCTCTTGTGTCATGAATACATTTTTGAAAAATTGAAATTTTAGTCATTGTATGTTGGAACAAATGGGAAAGTTGTCTACCACTACATCACAGAGACATTACTGGTCTAGCCAATTTGAAGAACCTATACGTATAGTGATTACAACTTTAACAATTCATAACTTCTCATTTTTTGTCCGATTTCATTCAAAATTTAACCAGTGTGCTTCTCCAATTTTTCTTCTTTCCTCTAGAGTAGTTTGCTATCAAGGTTGGATTTCTCTTTAAAACTAATTTCTGTTGTTATTCAGTGTGTACGCTCCCTTTATGGTAATTCTTTTCACAACGTTTCTTTACATGAGTTGCCGGTACGTATAATTTTGTTTTTGTCTGAACAGGCCCTAAAACCCTGCTCTCCATCGACATTCTCTGTTTGTCGAAGTGATAACCTCCCTTGGCAGTATACTTCCTCTCTGTTTACATATAATATCCAAAGTTTGACTTCTCTACCAGTTTTACTCGATTGTTTATTTAGAACTATCTCATTCTTGTCATGGCTCTATCTTTGTCTTTCATTACACAGTCAATGGAAAGGAGAAGTAAAGTCCGGAATTCCAGGTGAGCTTATACGCCCTCCGCCCCCCCCCCCCCCCCCCCCCCCCACGCTAATTTAAAGTGTAGTGGTCCAAAGGTAGAGTGGTGTTCTGGGAAGGGTGGTATTTTTGGCGGGTTCCTTTTTTTTTCATCACGTTTCCAGACTTTACAAAATTATATACGTGTATGATCATAGGAAAGCTATTAACAACTGTCAGTCTGTCACAGTAGAATGTTTTTGAAAATTTAAATTAGTGGGATGTGTATAATTATAAAGAACTAGGCTTTTGAGTAATTGAGTTGATAAATCATTGTTTTCTTTTCCTTTTTCTATGATCCCAGGCTTCCCAGCCTTGTAGAGACCTAATTTAGGCCTATTTCACAATCTTTATATTCTATTTGTGGACCCTTATCTCAAAGAGTATTATGTTAATTGTTTCTCGTTCAGATAGATAATGGCTGTCAAGTGGCTAAAATGGCCATACCGGGGTATCTGTAATCTTCACAACTAGATGCATGTTGATTTTGAAGTGCCTTGTGATGAAAACTATTTTCCACCTCTTAGGAGTTTTATTGTCTCTGTAGCCAGAATTCAGGTTCTTACTTGTAGCTAGTTTCCAAGTCTATTTTCTTGCCATTCTTATTTTCTCTCTTTCTCTAGCTTGTCATTTATAACACCAGCTGCAATCTCAATAGTATTAAATACAGCAATAATAGGTAGTGAGATATACAATTATTAAATGCCCCTTTTTCTTGACCCTTTTGAATGTACATGAGTTGAGTTTTTGAGTTTTTGAGTTTGAAGTTTATTATCCAAAACAAAAAGTACATCAATATATAAACAATCAAATGTGAATGATTAATTAACATTGAAAGGATAAATGGGACCAGAAAATAGCATTTAATGCTAATCGTGTCTAGTACCACTAACACACAAAAAGTATCACAGCAATAAATGAGAATGTAATGAATAAATATGAATAACTCTTGAATTCATACCTAAGCTACAAACTATTCTACATCTAGGGTAAATGTGTTCTGTGCTTATATAAAAAGCTTTGGTATTTTACACTAAATAAAAGATGAAGAATTATATAACAAAATATTTACAAAAAGGCAAGAGCCTTGGTTCTAAGTTATAAACAACTATTCTATTAACATTTGTGATATAAGAGTTCTACATGTATATTTGTTTGTATGTTTTTTGTATGTCAATGTACATGTTTTATCTTAATCGATCCTTAAAACAGTGTTTAAACACAGAATGAATTAAATAATAAATCATCTTGTTATCATGTAAGTGAAACTAGGGAACTGAGGGAACTTTTCAACCCAAAAGCTTCTGCTTTTTGTTGGTTCCCCTTTTTTTCCTTATCTGTTTTGTTACTGTACATGAATTTGATGTAAATTTGTTAATGATTTGGAAAAATAAAACAAATGAATTGAATTGAACTACAAATAGTATTGAAAGTCCCTTTAAGAATCCATCATTCCCCATGACAGGAATAATATCTGACATGAGCCGATGTAAGTTCAGATTAGCTTAACAGCATGTGGGTCTGTCTGCCTGGGGTAACATGATGTAATCCAAACCTCCCTTTCTGAACTAGGGTTCATTCTCACCAAGGAAGTCAAGGCTCATTCACTCTGGAGGAAAATTATTTGAAAATGATATAAAGACCCAATAAGTATTGCATAGCGGAAGGGGCATAAGCATGGAATAAATTGTTGTCTGCAGACCGCTGTCTAGAGCAAGAAGGTCATTAACTCTGGAACTCTGGGTTTAAGTGTTTGAAGTAATAATCCTCTAGCTCTGAGCGATTGTTATAGAAACAGTGATTAAAAGCATGCTCATGATTAAAAAGAACAATAAGCTTTGGAGAGATCAGTTCGCACTATGTTTAGTGTTCATTTACATCATGGGCTGATGGTGTCTATACCAGTATGCAATCACGATAATCCCCTCCAAGTTTGTAGAGCAGTCATTCAATATGATGTTATGACAAACGATGAACCCCGGTTCATTATCATGTTTTGAGGGTAGAAGCGATGCTGAAACTCCCGTTTTGCTGTACAATATTATTTTACGCAACTTTTCAGGGGAAAAGGCATTTCTTATCATTTCACCATAGGATAAATTCTGCTAATGTGAATGGATAAAGAGTTCGTTCTCACCGAGGAAGTTGAAAGCTCTCTGATTCTCACCAACTAGTCATTTGAGAAGCCTTTCAGTAATTGGGAGCTGAAAACAGTCAATTCAGGAGATTCAAAAACTCCCCTGAAACTTCCAAAAACTGTTTGGTCTCTTGTTATGGACAGGATACAGACTTGAAAAGCTCCGGAAAATGCAACCACATTCCTGAAATGATGTCTCTACCTTGGCTAGTATTAGGTGTTTTGTGTTTTTGTTTATCACCAAGTATAATGGAATAATACAATGCCGTTGAAATGAAGCATTTTCCTTGACATATGGTAGACTAAAATCTTTGATGTAGTCTGGAACATTTGTGACAAGTCACCTTTGAGTTGCCCTTATGTTTATGATAACACCATTAGAAAATTCCTCCTCACTTATTGGAGAAGATGCATATATATTTTGGGATGGAGCATTGTTTAAATATTGCCTTCAGATGTTTAGATGGCAATACTTCAACCTAAATTCGCAAAAAAGCAGAAATATATGCCCAAATGTTCAAATTTATCTATCAAGGCTGGATCAATATGATAATTTACCAAATATATCAATTAGTAGGCAGTTTTCCGGTAAAATTTGTATCATCACGTATTAGTCAAAACATATTCTGTCACATGCAGGGAAAAAATTAATATTTATTTTTCGGGGGCTACTTTTCAAGCTTGCCTGCATGAAATTAACACTCTAAAATTTGTTTTGCATTGAACTCTATGCGAATTTACAGGGGCTCTTTTCTGATTTTCGGGGGCTCTTTTGGGCATTTCGAGGGCTAATTCGCCCCGAGCCCCCGTGTATTTTTTTCACTGGTCACATGATTGGTAATAAGAGCTTCCATTTCATTTGTTGAGAGGGGGGGGGGGGCGTTTCCAAAACTGGTCTATACCTTGAAGAGTGTCAAGATTAATTTATATTCAAAAAGCATTTTTTTTTTTCCTCACTTGAATTGTCCAGTGACACGTCCACTCTGCCATGAAACTTTAAAACAAATGTAATTTCAGATTTCTTTTTTAAACACCTCCTGTATTTTTTTATAGGTTAATAATTTGTAAACAAAAGTTAAAACTCCACTATTTCAATTCAATCAAGTAGTGCTCAGTGAACCAAGTTAGTATCAATATTGATATATGGGTGATCTATTTGATAATAGAATAATAATATTCTGCTTTTATATAGTGCTTAATACATCTATGATGTCTCTAAGATAAACTATAATATGGTTTGTGCGGATTCTGACATTAAATTGTACTGGTTAATATACAAACTTAAGCATAACCCCGTAAAGAAATTGTAAAAGTTACCCCCTTCCCCCTCCCCCCCCCCCCCCCCAAAAAAAAAGAGAATAAAAGGGAAAATCAAACTAAAAGCATTCCAGATGAATGTCATGTTAATAATAAACAAAGTTTGTATCAAGTATAGCTATTATTTGATGGGATATAAAACATAAGTAAACATAATCCCCCTCTCCTTTGGAATAACAGAATGAAAAAGTTGACCCTCTCCCCCCCCCCCCCCTGAAAAAAAAAATAGTAGTAGTGAAATAACTCAATGTTTGGAATAATTTTTATTCCTAGATTTAGAAATTGAGGCATGAACAATAATGATGAGAACAAAAAACATTCCAATTGAACAACCTGTATTTATTTAATGACTAGAGTTTGTATCAATATTGATATTTAAAGTAGGCCTGTTGAATGATATGGATGTATGGTGTCTGACAACAGCTTATCCACCAATTGTTTACTGGTAAATAACAACACCTAACCATAACCTTGGGTGGTTTTTGCTGAAAAATATTTAGTCAGTAATGTCTGAATGGAAATCTAGTTTACCTCAATGAATGGATTGATATACTAAGTAATAAACAATTTAAATGCACTATAAAGTATTTATTTAGTGTTAATCAACTCTACTAACTACTCTACGTAGTACCAGAAAGATGGTAGTACAGTACCATCTTTCTGGTACTACGTAGAGTAGTTAGTAGAGTTGATTAACACTAAATAAATACTTTATAGTGCATTTCCAGCAAAATCACATATGTATTGCATGTTTATTGTTTGCCTAGAAATAAGGAAATATTGGGAGGAAATACTTTTCTGTGACTTATTTTAATAAGGTGAGAAATGTTGTTTGAAAGATGGTAGTACAGTACCATAGTATTAATACACAGCTCCAGATAGGCAGCTGTCATTGCTCAATGTAAACAGCATACCTACCTAAACTTTAGGGGAAATACAAATGAAATTAATCATCTAAATTAGAAAAACATATCTATGTTATTAGTATTGTATTTTTCTTCTTCTATGTATCAGGTTTTAAAAGTGGATGATCATGTATTTTTTTTAACTGTTTGTCTATTAATATGCAAACCTTTGGTAACAAATTTGTGAAATAATGATATTTTGTAGTCATGAGCATTCTCAAACCACTAGAATCGATTCATTACATTGATACAGTCAAACCTGCTCTAATGACCACATTTTTTGTTTCCCTTGAAAATGGTTTCTAATTGAAACATGTACTAAAGGAACCTGTCTACAAAGACCACGTTTTGTGTTTCCCATGGGCAGTCGCTGTAGACAGGTATGACTGTATTTAGAAAACGAAGTGTTACCACATTTAAAACAAGATTATGGACTGCATTCTGCTCAAATTATAAAATGAATTGTGAACATGGAATTATTTAGATAAAATCTCTCCGCAAGTATTAGTAATATACTGACAAAATCTTGTTCATGATAGCATATATCCACCTAATTGATGGCTACAGCCCAAGAACTGACAGCCGAGCTATCTGAGAGTTCATGAGACAGATGGCCCTCCAGACTGTCTTTCGGGTCATCTAACAGCTTTGTGAGGGCTCGGTGGCTGTTGCACTCTTGTTGATGCTCTTTCATGCAAATAGTGGTCTTCTTATCCTTATTGCTCTACAGTGATTTCCAATGAGTGACTATTAATTTTTTTATTTTTTTAAATTTTTTTTGTTGTTGGGGGGGGGGGGGGGTCTTAATGTTAGGCGGGTGTCATAAGAACAACACACAGCTACACCGATTTCAAGTCGACCTCCCTCGCTTTTTAATCTTCCTTTCTTTCGGTCTTAGACTGGTCTGAGAAGGACAAAGTCCACCTAGGACAAGAACTCAGCGATGTCCTCATCTACCTCATACGTCTTGCCCAGAAGTGCCACATTGACTTGCCAGCTGCGGCCCTAGATAAGATAGCCCTCAACGCGCTCAAGTACCCTGCAGACCGGGTCAAGGGTTCGAACAAGAAGTATTCCGAGTATGAGGGCGAGGAGGAGAAGAGGTGATAGAACGAGAAGGGGTGTTGCAGGGTGGGGGTACAATTTATACAAAACTTTCGTATATATTTTAGAGTATACCTGGGGGTGTTTCACAAAGATCCTAAGTTAAACTTATCTCTAAGTTGGACTAAACAATTATGGAAAGCCATTAGCATCTATGAAAATATTTTGTAAAAGTTATTCTAAAAGGCATAAAATATTGATTCAAATCATTCATATTTTCTATTATCAAGGAACTTTCACGTTCTTGATGTGAAATTTATAAAACGTGTAAAATACTTGAATTTTTGCTTTTGAATATATTTTATTTTGAGGCTACAAATGGCTCTCCCTAATATTTAAGTCCAACTTAGAGTTAAGTTTGACTTAGGATCTTTGTGAAACACCCCCCAGGTCAAGGGTTCTAACAAAAAGTATTCCGAGTACAGGTGAGTATGGCGAAGAGGGTGAGGAGGAGAAGATGTGATGGAATGAGAAGGGATGTTGCAGGGTGGGGTACAATCTATACAAAACTTTTGTATGTATTTTAGACTTGTTATATCTGATACAGTCAAACCTGTCTAGCTGGATGGGGTTCGACTTTGATGCCTCTTCTGTGTAAATTTTGAACTTTTTATCGTAAATCTATCAAGAAGTATTCTGAGTATGGCAAGGAGAGGTCGTGGAGGGGTGGGGTATGTTTAATACCCTTATAAATACTGTATTTTGGGGAAAATACAATAAGCATGTATCGAGTAATTGTGATATGTCATTCCAGTTATAAGTTAAATGTTAAGATACTGAACTTTAAAGGTACCAGACATGATTAGCATTTTATGCTATTTTCTGGTCCCTATTATTTATTCCAAATATTTGTTAAACATACATTTATAATCGTTTTTATTGTGATATTACTGTATTTAAACGTTTGGATAATAAGACCTCAACTCAACTCAAGTTGGAATATAAATATCTGTATTAATTGTATGGGCTAATCAGTATTAGTGTGGAGTCTTTCAAAGGCAGCCCATAACTCAGAATCATACCGGTGATTTGTTCATATATTCTTCTTAATTGTAGATGTCATTGTTGTTATCATGTAGGATGTATCTTTTAATACATAGTTGAAAGTAATTTTACCTGGCATTCTTTTACAGATTGTTTTCATAGATAAGGTCTATCATTTCTCCGAGTCCTTTGAAAATGTATATCTTACAGAAAATGACAATTCTGCTTTTAAATGATCAATGGTGTTTAGTTCTAGTAGTATAGACGAACATAAGAACTAGAAATCACTGCTCAAATTATAATGACACGGTAGTTTAACTTTGCTATGTCCTTTTTGTGAATTCTGGACCATTCCTAAATGTTTTAGAGACATATTTTCATTAAAATGTTATGATCTTTCAGTTGCACTTTTATATTGTTCCATGTTGTTATTTGTGCGGAGTTGAATGATATACTTTCAAAATGACCAGGGGAGTGTTTCTCAACAAAGACTTGAGATCGATTTTAAGTGGGTCATTCATACCAATGGTTGCTCTCACCATTGGTATCTCAATTTTGATCTTTAGATAATATTTTAAACTTCAATAATGAACTATCAAAATAGGTAAATTCTGTAGATTTGTGACCATGATTTGTACATCCCTTGGTAAACCAATGCCAGGAATGGTTAGAGGAACTAGCGGCATGAACCACCATAGTTTAGTCCTACTTAAAGTCGATCTTAGTCTTTAAACACTCCCCTGTATGTGTAATAATCCCATGATATTCTGGTATTCTTTACAAGTTCAAAATCAGGTACATGTGATTTGGGTTCATGAAATAGAGGAAGAGAGAATGGATGGAGACGATTTTGTGTTCGGATGTAAGAAAGAATGATGGTAGAGAGAATTGTAGAGATTTTGGATTGAAGAAGAGAGATTGGATGTAGGAGAGAGAGAGGGAGAGAGGTAGAGAATGAAAAATAATATGAAAGTGAGTGAAAGGAGAGAGAGGGAGAGAGAGAGAGAATGAGAAAGAACTTGAGAGAGGAAAGGGGGGGGGCTTTAATAATAATAATAATAATAATAATCAGGAAGGGGATACGTTTAGAATTTTAAAAAAGCAATGACATAGCCGTAGTCGTGTATTTTTGAGTGACGTGATAACTCGTTTTGAAAGTATATATGATAGGGTGATAAGATATTGATAGATAAGTTTGAAAGAGAGAGGAAAGGGAGCGAATCAAGGAGATGGAGAGATGTGGATGAAGAAGGGCGGGAGAGAAATAACGAAAATGAGAGAGAAGGGAAGAAGAGATCGAGAGACCCAGTAAAGACGAAAGAGAAATCAGCAATGAAAGATGTAGTCGGCAAGTAAAATAACTAGAAATCTAATGTTTACATGTACTAAAAAAAATATCAAATAGCTTCACAGAGGTCGAGTCAACTAGGTTATACATTTAATAGGTGGAAAAGAAAAAGAAAAGTAATTGTCAAAGAGAGAAATGTTGTTAATAATGAATATGGACAGGTAGAAGTCCATTCTACGTACTCTGCCTTATTATTCGAGGTTAGCTTTGATATTTGTTGAGATTGAGTATGTAATGATGAACATGTTGACTGGGGAGAATTCGTGATGTTCAAAGTTAATCTCTTCAAGTTTGGGTATCAATTCGCCTGAGGAAACGTCGGAACATGAAAATATGCAAGTTGACAGTCCTGTTCTAAGAAGATTGCCGACATGATAAATACAACTGTAGGACAGCTATCGTAGGACAAAATATATCCCCGGCAATTGGCACTGAGACAAGACCAGGGGGTGTTTCACAAAGATCCTATAAGTCGAACTTAATTCTAAGTTGGATTTAAAATTATCATGGGAGAGCCAAAAGTGAAAATCAAGTATTTTAGACTTTTTATAAATGCCACATCATGAACATGAAATCTCCTTGATAATAGAAAATATTCGCATAGATGCTAACGGCTTTCCATAATGGTTAAGTCCACCTTAGGATCTTTGTGAAACACCCCAGTTCTAAGAAGGTAGCCGACATGATAAATACGACTGTAGGAAAACTATCGTAGGACAAAATATATCCCCGGCAACTGACACTGAGATGACTACCATCCCAGGACGATTGCCTTCAGAACCGTTATCATCATCCTCGGATCAGGACCCCCATAATCACAATCTCACGCAGATGTAGTAATTATCACCAGCATCATAATCAGTCGCAACCACTTTTACCATCACCATCACATGCAGTCACTATACCACTATCATCATCATCACCAACACAAAAATCACAATTATTATACGTACAACCATTACCATCTTCATTGTTATCACCATCACCCATCGCAACCACAATCAACGTCATCATCATCATCATCACTATCATAATCACCATCTTCTTCACCACTTTCACCATTACAATTATCATCTTTATTCCCTTCATACCACAAACACTGTTATCATCATCATCATCACCAACACAACAATCACAATTATTATACGCACGACCATTACCATCATCATCGTTATCATCACCCATCGAAACCACAATCAACGTCATCACCATCATAATCATCATCTTCTTCACCATTACAATTATCATCTGCATTTCCTTCCTTGATCATCATCATCATCACATATCTCTCGGGATCAAACTATAAAAAACGCCCCTTTTTGCCCCTGTCTCACAAAAATTAGTCAGGGGACGTCGCATTAACCGACCGATAACCCATTAAAATCAATCTTGTCCATTATATTTTCGGTCTGGTGTTGGCCTCTTCGATGTGATTCTGATATAAAACATATAATAACCGCTCTTTCTCAGTCATCATTGGTCTGAAATCATTCATTAAAAATAAAGGGAACACTTCGAAAAGTCATGTCCGAAAGAACTCGTCACCATTTTATTAACCAATAAACATTACATAGTTGTAATCAGAATACGCATAGCCTACTTTGAATACAGATACAGTTAAAGAAAAATGTAAAATAAGCATTTTATTTCAAAAACATACAAACATATTTTATATACGGAATGTACCATCTTAGACGTGCTGTCTAAAGATATTATCCATAATGAAAGAACTAAAGATATCAAAATACAGTTAAAGTTGATTTATAGTACATATGCCACTATATAGATGGAGGCCTAGAGTTGACGTACAATGTGATTTTAACGCGCGAGCTTAATTTGTCAGACGCACTGGTTTTCACAAATGAGCTGCAGATTACAATATTTCGTGTGCGGCTTTCGAGATATTTTTTCTTAATCTTCAGCCTCTAGCCATTTTCAGTTGAGGTGCCTAATGTCATGAAAATGACCCGTGAATCATTTGAATATTGAAAATTTCAAAGGATTTCCACCAGGATTGCTCGCAACGGGAAAAACAAGTTTCCATTTTTCTATGCATTCGCCAACTGTGATTGATGTTTAAAAGGAAATGATAAAGTACTGGGTTGCACTATTCAAGTTTAGCGTCGCCTATTCCTTTCTAAGTAATAAGGACCCTTTTATCCGATTCACTTTGAAAACTGAACTTCGTACTCTTATCAATCTGCACGTATTAAGTTTTAGTGGCTATAGAATTCCCTGTGCCCCCCCCCCCCCCCCCTCCCCCAATGCACACACATAATGGACGTACAGAAGCGTGAACACAACTGAATGAATTGTTATTGACATGCCAAATAAAGAAGGCATTTTCTTGACGAATAAAGTAACCTTACAACCCGTATAGTATAGTTGTTGTTTGAAAACATGTAAAATGACACTCATTACACGTCCGCGTGCAATTGAACCGTACTACATTTACTCTTTCTTTCGTATACAGTGACACAAACAGATTGGAGAGCCCAGCAAGGGAATCATTCCTCAAGATGAAGTGAACGTAATTTCGCTATGCTACAAAATACGTGACATTTTAAGGTAGTAATTTTAACCAAAAGTCCAGGATATGTGTGAGAATATTGGATGAATACAAAGGGAGGTATTTTTCGGGGTAAAAAAGAAAGACGAACCATTATATCACCCAAATCTTGGAAAGAAAGAGAGTAAATACCTTCTCGTGCTGTTTATTGGTTCCTGAGATATTTGGTCCGTGCGAGCTACAATATAATGGCGTTATGACCTAATTAACGACGTCATGATCGACATATAATACAAAATAAAATGTGTCCATTTTACTCTCAACAAATATGTGTACGATACCGTCTATAACTCACTTGGGAAAAAATGCAGCACTTTTTTAATACAAAAATGTGAATTGTACATTGTTTGGCACAAAGATATATACCGCCATTATTACAATTATGACGTTGCGCGCGGGGCGTCATTTCGACTGCGATATTCCCTGCGCTAATCAACTCCGAGAAGACAATTAGACCATGCGCCATTAATTAAGTCAACGCATTGTGTGCATTGAAAATGTTACAATCATTTGTGTACGATGACATCCTCGTACGGCGTGTCAAAGACGCAGTCATCCGTCAGGCAAATGACACCTAGTATTATAATTCCACTGACTTAACAAGGCTCACAAACCTTCACCTCAGCGTTAAAGGGAAAGACATAATTAAGATAATACATTTGATTACATCTGTATATTGTATCTCTTAGACTTTACCCAAAAAAATATTTCAATATTTAATAAACGAGATAAGTCACATGACGAATATATTTTATACTATACAGGGAAGATTCAAATTTTAAAAATATATTCACATAAATATTATGCTGTTTGCTAATTTTTAATTATTTGTTTAAACAACTAAATTTACAGTCTACATAAATTATGTAGTTTTAAATCGATGCTAACACATCAGCGTAACATTTCAAATATACATTTGCCTTCATAAAAAGCATATACATGTATATGGATCATAAAACCAAACTATCAAAACAAAATGAACGAGAATTCTGATCAGGGACGTTAAAACATATTTTTAACGGAAATTATATACAAACAAATCCCCAAAATAAACAATTAAAAACTATAGAGTACGAACAAGTGAAGTATACGGGATTTCACAACAAACTGCATACATTAACATTTAAACAAAAAATGTTAGCTTTTACAAAATAACGATCAGTACTTATTTGCACTAATCTCGTAACAATGTCCTTCTCTTTTGCTACACTATCAAAATGTTAGTTGTCCATAAACATAACGATATACACAATAGCGTTTAGCCATAAATTTGGAAACTGTAGGTGCATTGATGAAACTGCCTTTAAGTTAAGGCACTTGAATTTGATGACTTACATCGTGCATATACAAATATAACAAATTAACGACACAAAAATGATAAATGGACCAATTTCGTTTGTAGGTAATTCCACCTCGGGTAACTAGTATTTGCAAATTATATACATGCACAAACGGGAATGGTACAGAACTTTCAGAGCGACAGAAGTGATGCACTCTTTCATCCATCAAGTTTTACAGACTAAGAACTCCCCTCAATTTATCTAGCTATTTCTAATGCGATTAAAATATATTATGACTGTATTGAGCGTTTAAATTGATTTAATTTGGCATATCACATCATAAAATACCGATTAGGCAAAACTTGAATCTAAGAGATAGGCCAATGGCGTAACTCGAGTTAAACTATTTGATAGGCATTGCTGGAAGGGGGCTCGGGTCTGACAAACCTGTTTGAAATGCTAGATAAAAGGATAATCAAGTGAGGAAAGGGTGTGGGAGGGGGTTGAATTATCTTCTATAAACGCTGCCTTTGCTTCACCACTTTCTTCCTTTTCCCCTCTCCCCTTCGCTTTTCGATTAGGAGGGGGCAACACCGCTGCCTCCCCTAGCTACGTCTATGGCTATAGAGATATTACAGAAGGGAGTTTACATAGAGGAATGATACTCAGCCGATCTACACATCTGCCGCTGTCAGAGCCTGTCTGAAGATGTACATCCGGTCTGGTGTGCAGAAGGCCATTGCGCCGTTGGTGTACTGCTGCAGGTGGTACCAGTGGCGCTTCTCAGGCTTCTCTATCTTGTAGTCTGCGATGAGCGTCTGGACATGCTTCAACTCGTTATTATACTGGTCGATGCTCACCAACCCCTCATCGTGCTTGACCCAAGCAATGATGATAGAATCATCCCCGCACACGGCAGGGTAACCGTAGAGGTTGTCGTAGAGGGTCACATCGTGCTTCATGACTCCCAGAGAATCGATCAGCCGTACTGAGTTGGAGTGGCTCTGTACCAAGAGCAACTTCTTGGTCTTGAGGGCGAGCACCTGACTGGGCTCGTAGCCATCGCAAGGAATCTCCCGGAAAGCTCTGCCACCGGAGGAACTGAAAACCTGGATGGCCTTTGCTTTCCTGTAACCAACATAGACATTTTCATCGCTGTCTAAGGCTAGGTCACCCATTCCAGCCTCGTCGTACCTCAGGGTCTCGAAGCGGGCGTGTGAAATAACCTCGCAGGATTTGCTATAGACGACGATGGTGTTAGTCTTGTCGCGGGTAATGAAGGAACCATTCTTGAAGAACTCGAGTTCGCGGACCTTGGCATTCTTCAGGACAGACCTGACGACACGTCCCTCGAAATCGAAGATGTCGACACCTCCTTGATTGCTGGCCAGAGCCATAGTACCATCGGGCATGGAAGCCATCGCAGAGATGCTGTTCCTCACTGGGAATTCCACATGCTTCGACGCCCAATCAGCCACCTGGACTCGACCAAGATCAAGCTCATTATTGACCTTGTTTCTCTCGAAGAGGATTTTCTCTCCTCGCTTAGCAGCGATGGATGGTTGCTTGTAGTCTGGGTTCTCCCGATCCAGGATCCTGGAAAGCTCCTCACAGAGTGTGTCGTGGGCTGTCAGAGACTCCTTCTCCAGAGGGGCGTTGAGGCCATGGGAGACCAGCTCCGTCGCGGCATCGACGTGGACAATCTGCTGGTGGCTGGATTCCAGCATGTCCTTCAATGAGATCTCCAGCTGGTCGATTCGGCGTTTCACCTCGCTCCTCAGCAATCCCTTCCTCTCCGTCAGTCGCTTAACCGAGTCCTCGTAGGCCTCGTCGATGCTCTCATTGATCTGGCTCAAGACGCTGTCCAAACGTTGCTGCTGCTCCTCCACAAACGCGATGTACTTGTTGATGGTGCTCTTCCTCATAGAAGCCCTGGATTTCAGATCTTGGATGTTCTCTCTCAGATCCCCCTCGTGCTCGTCGGCCTGCAGGATCGAATGGCTTTGTCTGGAATGCTCCAGCACTTCGCAAAAGCAGATGTACTTGCGGCACTCGATACAGAAGCAGGAGGCGTCATCAGTAGGATGCTTCTTACAGGTGGCCCGTTTCTTCAGGCTGATCTTGCCCGAGGAGAACTCACCCGTGCCCACCACCTGATGGCGGGAGAAGGTACCCCACTGGCTGTGAACCTTCTGACAATCGGCACACATGTACGTGCCACATTCCTGGCAGAAGGCAACGGCTGCAGGTGGCTTTTCCTTATCGCAGGAGGTGCAGTTGTGACGCTTGTTCTTCATGTCATCCACCACGGACTTCAGGGCTTGGTAGGTCTGCAGGTTGCCGACTTCCCCCTTGGGGACGGCGGATGTCTTCTTGCAGATGGGGCATGGTAGAACAGTACGGTTGACCTGAGCATCGGACAACCTCTCCAGACATGCCTTGCAGAAGGTGTGGGAGCAGGTAAGAAGCTTGGGTTCGTTGATGGTTTTGAGGCATATAGAGCACTCCAGGCTATGCAGATCCACGTTCTGCATCTTGGTAGATCTGAAAAATAAATTTGAAAAGGAGAGAGAAAGAGACGTTAAGTAAATTGACTAATACTAATCATGCCAAATGTTACTGGTATTTCAATTCATTAAATTATAGATTCACCCTCTCCTTCAGGTATGTTTATTAAGTAGAAAATGCCTAATACAGGAAAGAGGTTCATGCTGATGACTGGACCTGATATAGCCCTAAATGTGCAATGTACTTTAGTGTAAATATTCTCAGCGTACCCAACGCAAGTTCAATGCTTAACAGTAATCCTATGCCTTGTTCCATGTATTCAACTACCATGCTACTCTATAAGCATTTCTTATTTGAATGTTGTTTAACAGGTGAAAGAAAGCGACTGGAAAACAAGTTACCTTCAATTAAATCTCGTTCTTTCTCATTTCATCCTAATCATATATCAATCAAAGTTTAATTATTCAGCCGTCACATAAACATGATAAACTAGACAATCTCTGGACTATTAAATAATCTCGTGTGTTTTCTGACATTTCCAACTTCACATTATCTTTTACCTTCCGCTTCTTTATTCCACCCATCCGTCAACATGCCAACATAACCATTCTTGAATACTGTTTACCAGGACATGTGTTTCATAATTCATATTCACTGTCTACAAATGTATGCCTCATTTTTCAAAGGAAAAACAACTCCAAAGCCATAAACAACTGGCATAAATGGCATAACTGCCGATGGCATGTTACACATGAAAAACACGCATTGTGTACTACATGGGTGGGGGGGGGCTTAAGGGTTCAAGCCACAACAAAAGCTTCATTTGTAATAAATGTTAGCGGGGATACAGGTTTATAATGAATGCAAGAACCTCGAATCCACAAGACCCCTTAGTAACCACTAACCAGCCCTCCCCCTCCCCATAGAATTATCATTTTAGATCTGCCTCTGCACAATATGCCACGATTTCTTTTCAAATCAACATGAATTCATTTGGACGGCCGCAACCAAATACATTTTTCTGATAACCTTTGGTTCGACCTGTGTATTTCGTATTGTCTGACTTCGCATGTTGTCAGTAGGAGCAGCTGTGCTTCTTGGCATGTTATCTAATGATGTTGACATCGAAATTTGAAGGTGAGGCAGGGTACACTTTTCAAGCAAAAGTACATTTCCTGAAAATCTTATTTTTGAATTCTTTTAAAGTAACAGCACGCCATCTACATACATGTAGCTAAGAAATGACGCCATACTTCTTAATTTGGAATCGTAGTGAATCTACATACATGTACGTGCACATCACATAAACTCTTTTATTGTTGACTTCTTATTTACATTGGGCAGAATACATTATAGGCCTACAGTTGTACATCTACATGCATTAAAACGATCGCAAAAACTTTCGAAAAACCAACTTAATGCGAGATCAATAACCCAATGTGCGCCACCATTTGAAATGAGCCAACACAAAAATGACATAATCTAACCTTGATTTCAAAGTCAATAAACTAGGGTAGTGATTTTTTTTTCTTGAAAGTCTTTGCTGCGATGGTACATGACTTGTTACCTTTTTTTCCCCTTCAAAATTGTTAAAAAGTCATTCTTGTTGCACGATGTGATGGGTTATCAGGGTAGGCAGTTTGCGCTGTTTAAAACTTCAGAAAAACACCACCTGCTGAGTTCATATCAAAGTCAAATTAGCTCAACTGTGAGCTCTGACCGAGACATTTGTTGTTTGCTTATACCTGTAAGATCAGTCATTTGGAACCTCACAAATAGTTGTCAATCAATCAATTTATATCCTGGACCCTTGACAAAATTAAGAGAAGTGCACGGAATATAGCACAAATTGCACTGAGTGTACTCACAGTTTATTAAGCATTATGATTTAGACAGTCAAATATTTATCTCACTTTTGATTAGCATCTGCAAATATTACCTGTGTATCCCTTTATCTCTTTTCTTTCTATTTTGATACCATTTATGATGTTACATTTTGTATTAATGACCAAAGTTGTGATGTTATAGCTTTCACTGCCTTTTAGGACAGTTCCAAGAGAGGGGCAACGGCGTAAATTCAGTGTTATATACATTTAGCTGTTGTGATATGGAAATGGATAAGAGCTACATATGTTTTTTTAGTGAGACATTGGCCCATGCGGTTGCATGCATGACTCATATGTTTAAATTAGCAAGAAAAACATTACACTTACACATGCAGCATGAGTAATGTTTTTCTTGCTAATGTATGAATTAATGTAAAGGTAAAATCACTTGTATAAGGAAGGCCAAAGCATCAATAGAATTAGGGTAAATTAGTTACTAAGAGAATTTAATATAATTATCTTGTGTTTCAAATTACGAAAAAACACCCGAGTTCAACATTAAGTCATTGAAGGATTGCGTTCTCCTTTTTGCGACCTAGATTATTAATTTTGTTGCAAAATGATACCCCATTACATACGGTAAACCGGTGGAACATGTAGCTGTACAGCCTAGGTGAATGAGAGAATTCAGTGGCTATCGGGTGAAGCTAAGAGTAAGTCTTCAGAAAACCTGTATGAATTAAGTTTTGAGTTGCCAATTTAGACATGACTGTCATGAGGTAATTCATATACGTTGTGTGATGCATGGCCATAATGTCAATACAATAGCACGTCTGCTATTCGAAATATTGTGCTTGACCTACTTGTATTACAACCATGCACAACAATGTCAATGTTGTGTTTCAGGGTACATTATGCATATATATTGTGTTCCTAGGATTTTTTCAATTTATTTATCAAATGTACATCAAAGTTAGAGTTGGATTTTCACCACCTCACACAATTACAGTATTTACATGTACAATGTTTGAGCACAGTGAATACATACTAAAATTGGAGCAACTTTAGAATACCCCACCACAAAAATTGATCAAACGCTTCGTCAATGAAGCTAAATCTCGAGACTTAAGCTTTTTAAGTAACACTAAGCCTAAACTTAATCCTAACCCTAACCCTTACCCTAACCCTAGCCCTAAAATGATCATCTCAAACACTTAGTTTGGACATGTGACATGACTGTATGTTCTGATACCGGTACATGTTTTTGGTCAAGAGAACCATAATCTATTAAATTGGCTTCTGTTTGAATTAGTTTTCATCTTGTACATGCATCGCGATATACATGTAAGACTGTTTCATTGAATAGAACACCAATACACCATTGTTTACTTCTCTTCTGATTTCCACATTCTTTTAATATTATCAATAAGTTACTTAATACGTTTTATCCTATTTGAACTAATTTCCTTCAAAATAAAGAAGGAAAAACTAAATAACTCAACAGAGGTAAATACATTTTAGGCAATAATGCAACTGTCTAAAAGCATGTGGGAAATTGTTTGTAATACAGCCTGACCATAATGCTCTAAGGCCATGAAATGCAACGTTTTGAAGACTTTTCTCATCTTCACTACAATGGTAAGTTATTTGAATAAATTCCATGATATATATATATATGACGAGTTTAATGTATCGTAGTAATGATACTTTATATTGTAGTCAAACCTCTCTATAAAGACAATATGTCTTCAGTGGACATTCATTTTTGTGTCTCTCTCTCTCTCTTTCTCTTCGACAGAGAGAGAGAGAAATGTGTGTCGTACATATGTAGAACCTGTCTAGAGATGCCCCTTACCTGTCAACAGACAACAGTGACCCTTGTCTCCCTTGAGTGGAAATTGAATTGATTGTATAGTAATAATAAGCAAAGACGCCTTTGATTATACCAAAACAACAAAGTACCTTGTCAGAGCACATTGTAATTATAGACTTTATACTAATAATTATCTTGATTACATGTGTGGAGTACAGGTGCAAATTATGTTTTGGTTTAAACGGCAAGGCAAAGCCCTCCACCCCCCCCCCCCCCCTCCCCGCCCCTTTTTGTTAAGAAGAATGAAAACATGTTGAATTGACCTACATCAGTACATGTACATTGTACTTGTTTGAAAGAAGACACTGATTTGAATGATGCACACGCAAAATTAAAAGATTGAAACATGATAATAGAGTTTTATTTATATATACCTTTTCTGTTATCCTTTGTGCTGTAGAAGTAATATATCCTTTTCTAGTAAGATCTCTCTCTCTCTCTCTCCTTCAGTAAAGTATCCTTTCAGCAAAAGCGAAGTAGTATAATCCAGTTAGACGCGTCGAGTATAGGTGAGTGATCAAACAAAAAACGTGTCCAGTAGGCATACAGCGACAAATACACGTATCTCTCTAAATGCGTCTCGTATGCATGTGCGACTATGAACTTACAGAGCCGTATATATCTCGCAATTGGATATATTATGAAAATATGTCAGTCTGGTTTATTAAAAAATGGCGCCTGACGAAACAAAATATGCGTGCTCACAGAAGCTATTTGAATTGCTCAGCTGGAGTGTGCAGCTTCGATCCGTTTTTCTATCTATTCTCCCTCTATGGAATGCGGTGATGACTATTCAAATGATTCACACTCACAGTGGCGTTTATGCATATCACACAGTCCTGTATAGATAGCTGGCGCTTTAATATAGACCCTCTCAAATTCTACTCATTGGCAAGTGATCCGATACTTCAAATCCAGCTTCGCGTTACGCCGTCTTTATGCGGAATGCATGAGACAGCGATGTCGTAGAAACTTGATACGAAACACGAAGTAAAGAAGCGAGCCGTCGTCGTAACCTCGATAGCGATCGCATGCAGAAGACGAATTTCATCCGCACTCCTTTAGCTCGTAATACGCGTACAACCTGTGCACTCCGCTACAATCCGCAGGTTGGTTAATACTAGGCAATTTTGGCAAACTCATTGCGGAATTAGAATCTGCGGTTCGTGTGCAAAATCGAGAAGTAACTATATAGTTGTTGCCACACTTAATACATGCAGTTTGCATTCTGACTATTGCGAATCCTAGACAGGTGAATGAAATAATTTGTATTGAGGAACTTCACAAAGACGTATGTATTAAATTGATTACATTACGAAAATGGCCTATTCCCTTCCACGCAATACAGTACAGCTAGACGGGACGCGCATATTTTTTTTTACACAACTGTTAGCCACTTCAGTCAAATATACTGTGCAAACGACTAGAGACAAAGTCTAGCATTACCCTAAAGGCGTTGTGGCATGCGCCTGTAATCCAGCTAACAGTGGAAGTTACAAACTGATTCAGCCGAGGACGCAGGTTCGAAACTGAGTCACGTCTTTCGGATGGTGAGGTTTAAAGGTCGGTCCCCAGACGTAAATATTCATATCTGATTGATACACGTCTGTAAAAACCCAATACACACACACAAGTGTTACACAGTGTATACTCTTCTTCCATGTACACTGTGTAACACTACTCGTTATTTGTTTCGGGTTAAATCTATCCTCTCTTCTCTTTCTTTATGTATTTCTGTGTTCTCCTTCAATCTACCCTCTTCTCTTTTGTCATGTATTTCTTTGTTCTCCTTCAATCTATCCTTTTCTCTTTCGTCATCTATGTTTAAATCTGATAGATTTCCTTTCTCCTTCTTTATGTATTAGTCCCTGTTTTTCCTTAGTCTATGATCCTCTTAGCTCTTCAATTATGTATTTCTACGTTCTTCCTTTGACTCATCCTCTTCTCTTTCCTTATTTCCTTGTTTTTCCTTCTCCATATCCTCTCCACTATCCTTAATGTTTTTTCCCTTTTTATCAGTTTCCCTTCCCTGGGTGTTCGTGCTTGCATGGACCATTGCACATAGTGCGCTGACGACTTAGACTCTTTCACCAGAGCACTTCTTGGAACTTTTTCGCGAAAATGGCTAAACAGTTGTGTAAAAAAATATGCGCAGACGGGACTACACGACTAGCACAACTTGTCTCGACCAAGCCACAAAACGGCTTTTTATCAAATTTCAGCAATTTAACATCAAGTTTTAAAACAATTCATGTTGTATCCATATTCATGTTGTTATTGTTCAGAAACAATAATCGGAAGAAAAAAAACTCACCGAAGAGTCATTCGTGTCAGGGGCGGATCTAGGGGGGTTAGGAGGTTTAATTCCCCCTTGGGCTGGCTAAGGTGCTTTCTACCCCCCCCCCCCCGGAATATTAGTTGGCACTTTCCCTACCCCCCCCCCCCCCCACTAAGCGAAATATTGGTCGGCGCGATTTTTCAAATGTCAACCCCCCCCCCCCCCCCCCCGCCCACGCCATAGAGAAAAGCTATATTCGCCCATTAAAATTCGTCATCCTTCGATATTAGACGACGAAATTCTCATCACCATCTTTGGTACAAGCTCGCTGATTGGCTGTTTATTCACTTGGGGCGTCATTGAGAACGCCCGTAAATTTGGTCAAAACCTGTTCTGGATTTCAGTACCTCAGCGATCACCCTGCTGTTACTATAGCAGCTTCTCGATTTTGCACACGAACCGCAGATTTTCTGTCCGCAATGAGCTTGCGAAATACCCCTAATGTTTGTCGAACTTGCAACAACCAATGTATGCAGTTTGGATTCTGTCTATTGAAATACTATTATCCTTATCAGGTGAATGAAGTATTTTGTATCGAGGCACTTCACAAAGACGTATGCATTAAATTTGGTTACATTACGAAAATTGCCTATTAAAGGGCATTGCAAATGCAATACCTCCATAGAGATAGGTACGCATTCACCGAAAAGCGAAACCACGTAAACCACCGTAAGCCTGAGTGCTCTGCTACCGCGAAGGTCTGTAAGTTGCTGAGCGAAAACTGGCCACTAATAGCGATACTGCGGTGTATAGTAAACGGCGGCGGCAGGGGTGTATTACTCAACGGTATAGCGTTCTCTCTAATCCAACCCACTCCTTCGAATGCATGTAAAACGCCACAGTTACAGCCACGCCCCTACGGCATGTATTGTGTAGGGCCCGCATTCAGCTCCTGATGATAAAAGTTAGCGTCGGTTACGGCTTGGCGCCCCAGAAGTTCCTATGATTGGTCTCTCGGTTATCGCTCTTGAATAGAGTCAATAGGTCAGTGGTATTGTGAGGGAGCAAACAACACAGTATACAAACCATTCAGGGGATCGCCAGTCATTCACAATGCCAACGCTACCCCGATAGCGTCTCCGCGTGCCCCGCTTAGACTTTTTGTTACCCTCATTTTTTGTTGTTGGGTGTAGAACATTGTCAAATACCTCTTTTCATCTCGCCTTTTTGTGCTGTGCCGCGAGTAAATAGCATAATCGTGCACATCGCAATAGCTATTCGGGCTTTTCAATGAGACCGGTCTTGCCTGTAATTGAACAGTCGTTTACATGATTCACAATGGTAAAATAAGAGAGGCTATTTTCATTCAAATTTCCAAAGGTGAATCTCATTTTAGCGTTAACCGTTATTTCAACAGCACACAGTATACAACGAATGTCAAATCCATGGATTACTCTAGGGAGGAAATATTTAAGAGTAATAAACGGTAGTTCTATTAAAATTAAAAGACTGATCTCTAATTACCAAAATGGTTTCAAAGGGTGACAAGCAATTGACCCAGTTCTACTTACTTGTACTAGCAAGGTCAAAACATTTTGCCATTATGATTTGTTTACAAACGTTAACATGTATCAAGGAAATAAATGAACATAATTAACATCAAAATTCATCTTCCTTAAGTCTGAATCAGACAGTAGTATAGGCTAGGGTTATATCAGTCGTCAGTCAGGAACATTGATGTAGTTGGCATAAGGTATGGACAAAAATACTTTTGAGTTGGCATTTCTATAAATTTCATGTATACGTCTGTACATCCCAGGGAGGTGGGAGGGACCTCCAGTTGAACTTCGGCTCATGTTGTCAAGTATTGAATCAACCTGTATATGTTAAATTGGTCGTAAGTTGTAGAATAATGCTGCATTATTACCACGGTTGGTCAATCACCATGATCGTGGCTTTCCTGAATAACAAAATTTCTATTTTTCTCGGTCAAAGGTCAAATCAGCAGAAAATATTAACGATATTATTGTGTGATAAAGCCAGCACTGCCATTAATAAAAGAGGATTGAGAGTAATATTTATTCGAAAAAAAGAGTTATAATATAAAAATGTCAAATCAACAGACGAAACGTTTTAAGATTATTAAATTACTTGAGAGGAAGAAAAGTCATTGAATGTCATAAACAATGTTAAATATTTATACAAATCAAAATATCCATAAGCAATTTTTGTTATTTCATTTCCGCTCTCTACAAAATAAGGAAATGGAGTTTGGGCTTTTTCTCACGGGTTTTGGTTTTGTTTCCACAATTGTTTATCTTCTCTGAGAGCATAATTATCGGCATCGGGGTAAACATTAATTGAATATTTAGTTTGCGCACCTTTTTTGTATATTTTATATAATTATTATTTGTGGACAATAATTACTGAAACTAACCAACTGGAAAAAAGATAAACTGTAACTGTATTTACATTCCAGTCTTGGCTTTAACCAAAATTAATTTCAATTATTATTTTTATTCGAAGCACAACAGAGTATAGATTTATTTTTTCGAGGGGGAAGGGGGGGGGAAATACATACATGTATACATGCTTGAACCCCCACCCCATCATTTCCACATAGGATTCTACATGGGCACTGTTCTCTCCCCTTTCTCTCTCTATCTCTCTCTCTCTCATTCTCCCCGGTTTCCCCTCTACTCCGTTTTAGTTTTTAAAACGTATCACCTCTAGATACTCTGTTGACAGTGATAAATTGACAATCGCGTTGCTTGATCGTGCACCTGAATAATGTTTTTTTTGGGGGGGAAATCAAATCTTTCCACCGGTTCCTTTTCTTATTCTCGTATTCTCTTTTGAAGTTCTGTTGATGTGAGCCTGAAGTTGAACGATACATTGTGTGTTTTCAATGATGTTCTAACATCGGGAACAACATTAAGCCTCCATTTTTTTTTAAATCCATGCTCAGCATGCACAACACTCGAGGGACTGAAATGCCTCAATATAACAAGGGAAATGTCACATCTCACTGGAAGGGGGTACCGTTTACAACACAAAGCACCCTCCTGCTAGCGTGGGGTTCCATCTGAGAAAAATCCCAGAGAAAAATCCGAGATTACGAATGGGGACAATGGGGATTTGTGTAGTATAGAAATCACCCCAGCGGAATGGGGAAATGCGGGATCGGATAACCATTCTAGAGGAGCCTCGAGGAAATTCAAGGCATGCATGCGGTCGAGGAAAGATGAACGATGACATTATATTTTGACAGAATATTTTCGGGGCTCTGTACTTACTCGAGGGAAATTGACCTTGATTTTGTTATGGCCTGCGCGTTTTGAGGGGAGTTATATACACAGACGATTGGAAACGAAGAATGCACACACATTCCATTCTCTTGACTGGTTCTTTTTCCTCTTTCTCAAAAATATTTCTCCATTCAGTTCTGGCTGTACTTGACTTACAATCGAAACTTGGTAGAACACACATGGGACCGACTGGCTTTGCTCGTGTATTAATTTCTTCATGGACGTATAGCACATGTGTGAGGTTTCTAGCTTTTCAAACATGTGTTTCACAAGCAATGCAAAGAATGGGACAACAATGACCCCTCGATCCTTATTTTATAACTAGCTATTACAATGTCATGATAGCGAGGAGCTTCTTGATAAATTTCTCTTATAATATATTTATAAACATATATAAATATATATTTTTTTATTTTTTAGGATACAACTTTTTTCTTCTTTTGTTTCTTTTTAAGACACGTGTTCCTCACTACACAATATATATTTAATATTATATATAACAAATCATCTTGGACCCCCATGGAAGAACAGTCTTTTCTCCCTGGCGTGACTGAACTGGGTGTCCTTCCGACTTCATTATTGTCTTCTTCTTGTCTCTTTTTACATTGTATATTATGTTTGTTCTAAATGTCTTTTT